CCAATTATTTCCCCCCTCAAACTTTACGCCCTGCTGTGCTGAGCGGCTTCATACCTTCCAGACACCAAGTGCCATTCTGCCACCTGCCTTTGCTGGTGTTGTGCCCTGGTCCTGAGGTCCTTCCCCTATGCCTACTACCCATGGCCTACTCACTTTGACATAGGTTAGGCAGGGATGTAGGAAACCTGATGGCTTGTGTGTTAACAAAAAACTCACATCCTACCTCACTGACATAATGGAATAACTCATGAACTCTGTGGCCTGCAGAAAATGACTGCTCCAGTCAGACCAAGCAAGGTGAAAAACACTCCTGCCTGATGTGTGAGAGGAGATAATAATGCATAACCCAGTCTCTAGAAGTTCACAACACATAACTAAGTTTTCCAGGAATGACTACCCCCATGTCCACAGGCCCCCAAAAAGCTTGAGGTATGGGATTTTCAGGTCAGTCCTCCTTCTTCTTTTTGCACATTCTCCCCCCTTGATAGTGTACTTTGGCTTGCTTTCATTTTGCTTTGCATTAAAACCTGCTCCTGCTTAGGTCTCTGTGTCATTGAATTCTTTTTCCCAGGAGACCAAGAACCTCTGGCCCTGACCAGATCCAGTAACAACTCTTACCCGCATTTTACTGTTCCACTTGAAATTCGAGGAGCCCTACCTGACCTCTACGCTCGGCTGGATAAGGGACAACTTTCTGTGTTAACATAATGTCTGGGACAACCTTCTCTCATTGCACTTGATATCTCAAGTTGCAATAATCTGCTTCTGTAACTGTTTCCCCCATATAGAGTATGAGGGGAAGAGTAGAGGTTTATTGATAGTAAGCACTATGATGTACATGTGTGCATTTACATTATATATAGAGAGACAGAGAGAGCACAAGTTCTGATGATACTTGTTGAGTGAATTCATGCATGTACAATAGTCAAACCCATGCCATCAAATAGTCCATGAGTGGTGGCTTACTAGAATCACAGCTAGTAAACTTTAAGCAAATTAAAACCATGTCATCTCCAGGGAGAGGAATGATCAGGTCTATGAATGAATTTGAGTACAATTCATAGTAGGAAGTATTCTACTTAGATGATCAACCAGAAATAACTTAGCTCACTTTCATGCCCAGTGACATTTTTCATTTCTAGAAGATGAATGTGCCAAGGATGATGGAAGTGGGAATTCATACTTAGCTCTGTGTTGTGGAGATGTGGATTCAAGTCTACAGCTGAGCTCCCACGTAAACGGAACACAAAGGCCGGGTGAAGATCCAAGGGATCGCTCTCTCTTCTAACCCAATGCTAACCACAATCCCACTGTTGACTCTTGGAAGTCATGAGGAAAGGGGGCAGCAGCTGCCTAGTTGGTGGAGGAGCAAACATAGATGCTGCCCCTCATAGAGTAAAGAACTTGGAGAGCCCTTGTCAGCATAGGGACCATTCACTGTCTACGCACACAAAGCTTGTCTTCAAATCTGACTCAAATAACCACTTGGTCAGCCACAAGAAGATGCCTCACAGAAGGTGTCCAACTACAAAAGCTTGACGTGGTTGTGCTCTGTAGCCGAGGGAAGTGCTTGCATAGAGGCCTGATCCCCTGTGTCCTTCCATGCTCCCATCCCCTGTGTCCTTCCATGCTCCCATGCTTCCCATGGCTATTCCCAGTGTGGGCAGGTATACTATGGTAGGCCAGGATCCTTGGAGACAAAGGACTTGGGGGGATTCCTCCTGATCGGTCTTGCCAAACTGTCTTCTGATCTAGGAGCACTCCAGGATGCATCCACCTTCTCTCCTCCTCCCTCCCTCACTAAAGACCTGCCTGATGACCTCATGGCCTTTCCTCATTGCTGCCTCACTTTTTCTCACTGTTGTTTTCTCTAATAGAAGCTTTGCACACTTGATCTGTCCTTGGCCTCTGTTTCTCAGAAGACCCAGACTGAAACACCTCAGAAACAGCCCTTCCCCTAAAACGTTTGGACCAAGTGGTGAGTTAGTTGAGTGGCTGACCTATCTCAGTGGTAACCATGTACTTATCCCTGCAAAACCAGGGCTGTGGGTTCAAGTCCATATATATATCTATATGTTTGCACTTAAACTTTCTATGACTGTAACTTTTTGAATGCCAGATGTTAGTATATTTGGAGTAAAATCTCTGGGGGGATGCCAAAAATGTCAAATAATTTCTAGCAATGAGGCTATCATTATTGTTTTATTACCATAATATAATAGCCAACTATGAAAAGAGGAAAAAGAAACGAAGCACAAAGAACAGGGAAGAAGATTCTTAATGGCCTCAATTTTATAGAAACAAAAAGGTGCATTTAAAAGGGGGATGCTTAGGGGGCAATTTTGATCAAAGGGAAATTTACTGTTTTGAAACTGGGAAATGTGTTATTAAAGAAAATAAGCTAAAAATTAGAAAAGTGGGTTTTGGCAGGTAAGATCTCATTTAGGAAAAAATCAAAACAACAATAACAACAAAAAAGAGAAGAAACTCAAAAACTCTAAAACACAGTATTTCACATTTTTGACACTCAAAACAGGGTAAGTCAAGATCATAGTTGTAATTTGATAAAGTTGAGTTGAGGTCTTCATAGGGACACCAACCAGTTGCTCTGAAGTAGAATCCACATCAGGACAAGAGAGTCTGAACCAGGAAAAAACACATGGTAAGGAAGGAAGGAGTCACAAACCACTTTGTCTCAGAGAGAAGGGCCAGATGGGGCTTCGAAGGGGGTCTGGGCTACAAGGAGGGCTTTGAACTTATGCCAAATGGTTACATTATAATTTTCAACTTGAAAGCATCTGGACCATGTGCAAACTTCTTGTACTGTCTACTGACTTGGGTCATGGTGTAAAAAAATCAGCAAATGTTTGTGACTTCACATTGCTATGCTGCCTCCATTGCTGTTTGGAGGGATGCCTAGAGGGTGAGGGTAGGTGTGTTGGTCTAGAGTTTCTCTGAGTATGGGCAGGGAGAGAGAATGCACCCAGATCAGTGGGTGAGGTGAACAGTTGTGGAGGAAGGAAAGCAGAGGATCAGGTGTTTGAGAGCTGTACTAATCCATGAGTAAGAAAGCAAGCAAGGAAAGAGCCAGCAGCCTCAGCTTTCCAGCCAAGACTCCAAGCAAACTTCAGTTTATCACCCTAGAGGCCCAGGAGTTTGGGTGTCTCAGGTTTGGGTGGTATGAGATTCATTTTAGCATGAGAATGAGAATGGGTTTGTTATTGATGCTACACACAACTCCCAAGGGAAAGGGACACTTTTATCTGTGAGGAAGGCCAGTGTGCTCTGAGGAAATCAACAAACCAGGGGACCAAAGAGGAGTTGAGCTCATAACCAAAGAGGAGTTGAGACACTCTTCGGGTGAAGGGTTTCTACCTGGCCACCTTGCCTTTCGGCCCACCTTATTCTCCACTCTGTCTCCTACCTCATATTTTCCTGTACTGTTCAGGGTGCTCAACAATATCAGCTGAATTAAATGTATAGCATATTACTGAAGTTTGATTTCTGTCACTCATTACACCAGGGATGAAAAAGTACTAATAAGCAAATCCAATGAAACTTGACAATATCTCCTAGTGTTCATATTAAGTAATTACACAGTAAGCTGGAAATAAGGTATCAAATAGTGTTACTCACCTACACAGGGGACCATCAGCACAGATACGAGGAAAAGCCCAGTCATAGCAGGAGAGCATAGAAGGGGGCTTGGGTGCCACCTGGAACAGTTTTCTGGGGAGAAGCCAGCAGACTTGACCAGGATGCTGTCAGAAATCCTAGGAAAGAACCGGCACTAGGCCACCTTTATGCCATCTTTGTGCCATCAAACACAAAGCCCTGAAAGGGTTTCTGCCTCAGCCTGGCCACTAACAGTTTGACATTAAGGTGCTCTCGCTCGTCTTTGAGATTCAATCTGTTCCTTGGTAAAATGGAAACTTAACCCTGAGTTCCTTGAGGCCACAGTTGTGGTCTCACTTTTCTACTCATTTATTCCACGGTCATTCATTTCAGCTCTTCTATGGGGGAGGCAGTGAGAATTCATTATCCAGGAATGCAAAGTGAGGAAAACACAGCTCACACCATTGTTACATCAGCACCCAAAGCTGGCTTTGAACTTCATCACTTTACATATGAATAAATTTGGCAACCACATGGTGGCGCTGCCTGCCAGCAAAAAATATTTTCTGTGCTGCATCTCTAGCTTCCTTCCCTTCCTCGGCTTCTGAGCATTTGAATACCTCGTTGAGATGCTAAGGATCCAAATATATGCTTGATGGCACTGCTCTAGGGACGAAGAGAGGAGGTAGGCAAGGTCCTGGACCCCCTACTGCATTTCAGTTGTTTCCCTGTACTCAGATCTCTCAACCCTGTTAACTATGTATTTAACAGTAAAGGAAAACTAAAACAAAGACCAGAGGGATTTAAAAATAATTTTAGCTCCCTGGGACTATAACTCTGTAAAGAATGGAAGATGGTTGGTTGACGTGCACACACTTTGCTCTAGATCATGTTTTTAGGACAAAACATAAATGATAGCACTGCATGATCTATGCTACCCCAGTGGCACACACGGGGACACAAGACAGATAGGCTTGTGTATGTTGTACACTGAACAAAAGGGGTAGGCTAAGGGGGCAAGTAAGGACCAAAATGGAGCCAGGTCACGCTCTTTTCCCTCTTCAGGGTTGTGTGAAGCTGGAGGAGGACTTTCTCCAATGTATCCTTCCAGGTGAAACGGGTCCCCATGCCCTGGTTGTTATGGTGAGCAGGGTTTGGCATTGGGAAAGGTGACCAAAGGAGAAAGACATTGTAGACTATTCATAGACTACTCTACGAACCTTTCTCCAGGCCTAACACAGCCTCTAGTGGCCGCAAAATAAATACTTGTTGAATGATTGGGAAAGGGTGAGATATGAGTTCTTTCCGATTCTCACTCAGCTAGGCATTCTGTAGTAGTGTGCCTGCTGTCCAGTTTTCTTTGGGCATAATGCTCTGCTCATAACCTTTAGCCACATGAGCCCCTAGAGCAGGGTAACTCTCAGGGTTAGACAGGCTTTCTGACTGTTCTGCGGAGAGTCGGATCTGCATGACTCCTTTCGGGTTAAAGCCAGACTGAAATGAAGGGTGAGACAGGAGAAGTCTCTAGGTGGACAGTGGGATGCCCTGGGAACTCTGCTGGTAGACAGTGGAAGTCTCCTTTAGTAGCCCACTGACCCCTCTGAAGGCATACCCACAGGACTGATGCTAGCTTGACATTGGGTCAAGCTCAGTCACCATGAGGCACTTCCTGTGTTAGCTCTTCATTGTTAACATCACACTGTGAGAGCTGCCAGGAAATCTGAACTTGGAATGGGAGTGAGCATCATCTAGTTCAAAGGTGTGTTTTACAGATGAGATCATTGACAATTTATGGCAAAAATGCCCCATTTCCTAGATCTCTTAACACCAGGCCAGTGCTGTAGGATAACAGCCCCTACCTAGGAGCCACTGGGGGTCCACCCCCTCTCCTGCAGGCCTTAATCCCTCCAGGTACTGATGGCAGTGTCTGAAGTAGAGATGTTGATTGCAGCATTAGGAATTGCAATTACAGCAGCTGGCCTTGGTTAGAGTCTCAATAGCACCAGCCATGATAAAGGTCTTTATGCTGATCCCTTCTGCTTGTGTGGAAGGCCCTATCTGGGGAATGAAAGAGAGGTGAGACTGAAGCCATGGCCTGTCTTTTTCCTCTTCTGACTATAGTTTCAGGGATATGCTGCCCTAGGATATCCTGCAGTTCAGAGTATACAGGCAGGCTCCGGTGCTCAATTTCTACCTCTTCTAATGTGTCTAGTGGAATGTAAATGAGCAAAAGCTACCTGTTTCCAGATGCAACCTTGACTCTGGTATAATTTATTTAAAAAAATAAATTGTAAGAGCCAGGCATGGTGTAACATGTCTGTAATCTTATCTACTTAGGAAATAGAGAGACAAGGATCTTGGTTCAAGATTAGCCTGGGCAAAGTAGAGTGAGGCCCTCTCTGAGAAACCAACTAAAAAAGCAAAAGGACTGTGGGTGTGGTTCAAGTGGTAGAGAGCTTGCCTAGCAAGCTCCAGGTCCTGAGTTTAATCCCCAGTACTGGAAAAATAAAATAAAAAAATAAGTTGTAGGAAGAGGAGAATGGGAATTCTTGTTTAATGGGCTCAGAGTTTCAATTGGGGAAAATCAAAAGTTCTGGAGGGAGATCAGTGGCGGAGATGGTTGTACAAAGATGCAAATGCACTTAATGCTATCGTACACACTAGAATAGCTAAAATGGCAAATCTTACTTTATGTACATGTACATATACATATACATATACATATGTATATATATATGATATAAGGGCAGCATATCCCCTATATATATGTATATATATATATATATATATATGATAAGTTATAAGCTTGGGGACCTTGCTCCTTGAATCTATGCATCCTTTCTGTTGATGCTCCACTGATTACACTCCACACACTGTCTAAGAACAACACTCTAGGACTTTTTTCACCATGTTCTCACTTTCCAGAGGGGGTCTGAGGCTCAGAAAGAGTCTGTAACTTAAAAAAAAGTCCCCCCACCCCACACACACAAGGAACATACATGCAGGGCATGACACATGACTATTTGAGCCAGGCTTCAAACTGAGGACATTCAATGTGACCCAAGACTTTGCTCCCCTCAGTTGCCAGGCCAGCCATGTGATCCTAAAGACACTGCATAGTAACTGCTCACTGTGTAACTGTCACAGTGCTGGGAAAACTTACTTGCCAGGCTCCTAAGAACCAGCTGGCCACTCCCCAGGGTGTGGTGAAACCAAACAGATGGCAACATTACCCTCAACCCCAAGAAAAGGGAAGGCCAGCCAGAAAGTCAGCCCTGAATAGCAGTGAGGGTGCTGAATCCCGCTTGGAGGGTCTCAGATGAGAGACACAGACGGGCTGCTGCCGAAATCCAGCATCCTTTGTTGGCCAAGTCAGGTGCCCTTGGGTACAGGGCTATGACCTGGAAGAAGAATCCCCTTTACCTATTTGTTCAAGGGGCCCAGGGCCAACAGAACACCTTGGGCAATGTTGTCCCTGCAGACTGAGAGGGCTCCCAGGTCTCTTAGCTTAGTCCACATGCCATTTGTGGAGTCCTGGCTTACCAGACCAACCAATGAACAATTCCACAGCTGTCTGGACAGCAGCTGGGAACCAGACATTGCTGGCTGGGTAGACCCAGGCAGGGTGGATTCTGTGGCTTGCTGGCTTCCTTGAGTCAGATGCTGATGCTGCCTGGAACTCATTTTTCTGGTCAGCAACATGCTTGTGACTGATTTTTCATTAGGGCATCACGAGGACTAATGGATGAGTTCCACTGAGGCAGAACACCAAGCACATGGCACACACTCAGTACTCAGTGAGGACTGTCCATCAACATTGGATCACAGGTCAACACTGGATGCCGTCAACAAGGCTGTTGGCCCACAACGGTTTGGGGGACCCTCCCTGATGTGGCAGAGGATTTTTTCCCCAGAGAAATGCATCAGATGCTGTCTTCCTGGCATTGCATCTCTTTGTACAAGGGCTCAGATTTCCTTTGAGTTTCCAGATACATTTTAGAGTAATAGCCAGGGCTCAGACAGTCCCAAAGGCATCCCCATTCTCCCCTGCCCCCTTCTCTTCCTCCATCTACTTCCTCCTCTATCTCTCCCTCTTTTCTGTTCTCCTTTCCTTCCACTCTGCCTCTCACCCACTCCCTTTCTTCCTTCCTCTTTCTCTTCCTCCATCCATTTCCCCTTTACTTCTCCCTTCCCCGCTCCTCCCTGGCCTCATCCATCCTCAAGCCTCTGGCTCTCACATCAACAGAAGTAGGTGCCTACCGTGAAGCTCCCACGCAAAGGTCACAGGATGAGTGCGTGATGCTTGGCTTTGGATGGATAGAGACTGAGTTCTTTATATCCCAAGGAAAGAGCTCTGGTCATGTGAGTGCCTGCCCCTACTGCTCACATCAAGAAGATACTTCTCATGCCCATTGGCAGGTGGGCTGCCCCCAAGGGGAGGAGGAATTATAGTACTATGGGTTGGCACAGGCAAAGGCTCCATATTAAGAGGCCCCATCCTGACCCCCAGGAGACCTAAGCTCTAATTAGAGAACAATGGCTATGCTGTTCCTCACGCTCCACCTCCCCTCAGTCTCAGAGGCTCAGCAATTATGTCTAGAGTCATCAGGATGAAAGGTGATGAAAGTCATAGGACTCTCCTGCAAGAAAAAGGGCTGCCTTTGTCTGATCTAGTCATTTCATTTCTTCAGAAAGAGGATCCCTGGGGCAATTCTTCTCATATGTTCCTGGCCTTGGACCTGGGAATTTGATGCCTCTTTCTTTTAGGAGTTTTCTGCCCAAACTGTGGGGTGAAGTGAAATGGGGTTTTACCATCAGATATCTTATGTTCCACTGCCAGACCTACTACTGAATAACAGTGTGACCTTGAACTTATCCCTGCTCAGGCTCAACTTCCACATCTATTCGATGGAGTTGTGAGGAGGGAGTAAGCCATGTGTGGTATATGTTATAGGTGTTCCTCTTCCTATCCCTTGTGAAATGTTTCATTCCTGATTTCATCAAGGAGAACTGCTGCTTACTGAGTGCTTAGTAATGTACTACACATGGTTGGCAGGATTTTACCTTTGTCATCACTACAGCAGCCATACTGCTCTTCTAGGAGGAATGAGTGGAGCAGTAACTCCTTCTACAGGCCATCAAATGGAGGCATTTTGTCCAAGTTCACCTAGTGGTGATCCCTCTGAGCTGTCTGCTCTGTGCCTGTCTCCTGAAGAAGCACGACTTGTCAGACAGTGAAATCAGGACTCGATGGGGCCTTCACAGCAGTAATCACTGAAAGAGCTGTCCTTGTGCACCGAAGCTTCTGTTTGAAGCTCATTAGTTGTTCATCCACTTACGCGCATTGGGGTTGGAGGGAAAGTCATCACCTCTAAAGCCGTCAAGTCAGTGGGTCCATGTGGCTCAGTTTAGCCAAATCTATTTCCTCAGAATCCCAATAGAGAGCATAGCTATTGCATGATGCCTAGGTAGTTTGTTCTAGATATTTACAGGGAATTTGAGAATTTTCTCCCCATGGCCTGAAATAGCTTATGTAACCTTAAAGCAGTTGACTTTTTGGGTCAAGTGATTCTCTTCTGTGGGCACTCACCTAGACACCACAGCATCTTCGGTCTCTACCTGCTAGATACCAGCAGCATACCCCATACCCACCCCTACTGATCTGTGACAATCAAAGTGTCTCTGGACACTGCCAAAATGCGCAATGTGCCCTGGGCAAGGGGGAAGTCATTCTTGCTTGAGATCCACTGGTTTTCAATGTCTGTGGAGCCATGAATTTCCCTTCCTTCTCTGTTGGTGGAATAGGATGAGAGTTAAATTTTCTTAAGAACTCAGACATGAGAGAAAGGGCTGTACTCAATGAGAGTTTAAAATGATGACCTCACTGTGACAGCAACTGAATTGCTCAATCACACAAGCCCACAACACAAGTGTGCTATGCAGAGACAGGGGGACACATGCATATGCACAAATAGACACCAGATGAGACTCAGATGCACAACACACTTCTCTCTCTCTCTCCCTTTCTCTCTCTCCTTCTTTTTCCCTCTCCTCCCTCCTTTCTTTTCTACCCCTCTTTCCTTTGCCAGCTTAGCTTATCTTTTGGGCATAAAAGAAATAGACAGAAGTGCACCTGCACTTGGCTGCCAGGAAGAACATATTTTAATGATGCTGCTTGAGTAGCTGTGCAATCTCTTATATTATCTGGGGCACAAAAGGTCCCTCATCAGCTAAGCACAGGTGATCATGTATGCACGGACTGGAACTCCAATTCTGTGTGACCCCAAAGCCTCCTCATTGCCCTAGCCATTGCCTATGTCAAGACCTGTTCAGCTCAGGGTTACAAGCCCAGATCTCCCTTAACTCCAGGAGACCAGTGGACTCTAGCACTGTGAAGTTCACTCTTGGGCCTTGAGATTTTGGTTGTTACATCTCAGTGTGAGTGAAGATGGTGAGTGTTGCTGGAATCCAGTGAGTGGAGATCTGAGATACTGCAATGTCCTGGACAGTGTCCACAAAAGAGAAGGTTTTGGTTCAAAATGTCAACAGTTCTAAGGTTAAGATATACGCCCATTTTATTCCTGATAATGGTCTGACCATAGAAAAATGGCTCCTCATGGTTTACTAAGCTTTTATCTTTTATTCTAGGTCAGATTCCAATGCAGGCCCCAAAGACTCCCACACTCAAATTTTTTCAGTGTTATAGTCATGTCCAGTCATTTTTCTCAAAGAATGGGATATCTGAGTTCACTTAGGCTCTCTCCAAGTGACTACTCCTGCTCTTGGGCTCAAGCCATCACTGTATCCTCCACCTTCCCTTATTATACATTACTCTTTGGAGAGTCTTGGAAATCCTTTCTTGCCAAAGGTCCTTGATTAATATTCATCCATCAGAAATGGTCTAACCAAATCAACCCACACGAAATGCAAGGGACTGTTTCCTTGATTCTTATTTAGGTAGCCCTTTTCCCCTAGAAATTTGGCTGCATCCACCTTGTCTTTGCACACTCAAAGGTTGTTTGCATGCCCCAAAAGTCATGACAATAGGTGTTTATGAGTCTGCCCTTCTCACAACTTTGAAGGTGTCTCTAGCATTCTGGAGATTAAAAGGGACTCTTTCTGTATAACAGCATCTGGCTGCTTTTCCACCCAAAGTTCTGTATCACCAAGCATCTTCTTGTTCACAATGGGGAGAGCCATTTTGTACCTGGATTATGAAAAGAAATGTACTTTTCTCCCCAAAGAACCACCATAGATCACAAAGGGATGGAAAACTGATGACTAAGCACAGCCCAAAGGTGAGAGAATAGAGGAGGAACACCTGGTGAACCAGGAGGAAAATTATCCTTAGTTATGAGGAGTAAAGAGGTCCAAGGAGGCCACGGAGAACAAACTTGCTCTACACAGAGTACAGCATGTACAGGGAAATTGGAGCACCCGAACACCTGGAAATGGTAAAAAAAAAAAAAAGGGACCTAATACAATGAGGGGAGCCTTGGGAGTATCGGCATGCAGTAAAGGAATAGCTGAGCAGGTGTGGAGTATTTAAACACTGCACCTTCTGAAAGAAGATCTGCCCCTTCATCAGTTCCTGGGATATCACCCCTAAACCCTTGGAATGTCCCCAAAACAATGTCTTTCTGTAATTGTGGCTTTGGGTTATACTGAGTTCATGCAAACATGAGACTTCTGGTGGGGGTCTTTCGGTGATGCATTATTAGTTTAACTTCTGGAGGGACTGGAGGCTGACTACTAGGTTCAGCCATGCAGGCACTCTGCCTACATGACTAACTTCAACAAAATACCTGAACACCAAGGCATGAGAGTTTCCACGGCTGATGATTTGCATTATGTGTGGTTGTACATCACCACTGGGGGAGGGAAGTGCTGGATATGCAACCCCACATGGAGAGAACCTTAAGCTCATGCTTGGGCACTGATTTATGTGCCTTTTACCTTTGAAAAATTTTGTCTGCTTCTTTTTGCTATAATAAATGGTTAGTGTGACTATATTAGTTTTTCTGAGTCAGTGGTCACTGAGTCCAAGGGTCTCTTGGAGACCCTGAATACAGTGGGACATGCAGAAGAATGCATATAAGGTGTCAGTAAGAAATTCTCCACATCTCCTCCTGATGAAAGGTTTTCATCATCTCTGACTTAGGGGCTAGGAAGATTTTCTAGAGCCCATAGAAGAGCAAGTCTGATCAGTTGTATAACCAAGTTGTAGGCAACTGCATAGAAAAATCATATGTGAATCTCTCCCGATTATGAATTTTGCTTTTCTCAGTGTATCTCTTGTTGTCCTCCTAAGGTCCCAAGTTCAAGTCACCTCAGATTGTGCCAGTCTCTGTGCTGGACTGGTATGTTCAGACTAGCATGCACCCTCTCCCCTAGTTCTCCAGTGATCAGGATTGCTGCAGGCATTATTGGAGCTTCTTGAGCATAGATCATAGGTTTCCATTACTTTGAAGCAGGCAGGAAGATCTACCATTACTGCATCCATTGTGATGCCTCTACCTTCAATGCCTTACATAGATTCATAGTAGAGACCAAAGTGCTACTTCCAGGGAGAACCACTTTTAGTTTGTAGATGACCTAGTCAGAGCTTGTGTGGATTCTGCAAGTGTAGCCAATCTGGGTAAGGGTCAGAGTGAAGGGCTGGTGCCTGAAGTCACTATCAGGTCCTCACACAGACTTGCAGACATTCTCAAGGCATTTCTGCTTCAAGGCTGTAAAAGCAAAAAGGAAGTCAGAAACAGTATAGAAACATAAAATCTGATAGAACAAGCCATGGTTCAGTTTCTTCCAGAAGGCAAGTGTGGACCAGAGTATGGGGCAGGGATTCAGCTGAAGTGTGTCAGGGTGGGCAGGACTCAAGAAGACCTGCTTGCTAGTCAGCAGTAGAACAGAGGAAGGAGCACCTATATTTCTCCACTGACTGCCCAGTGCTCTTGCTCTAATACCCAGCTGCATCTAACTGGTCTCCTCAGGTTGTATGATAATAATTTCATGTCATTAATACATTGTTCCATAAAAATAACATCTTTTTGACTACAGAAATTTCAACATGGCCAGGACAAAAGAAGAGATCTTGAATTGTGTTTGCAAATGTCTTATTTCCTATCCCCCACCAAAGAAAGGGATTTTTCTTCCTGACTTGTGACTTCCCCACTTTCAGTGCTTGTTTTTGAAAATGCAGAAGGAAGGTGATAGCAGAAGGAGAAGAAAGAAAAAGTGGGATGATGAATTTGCATTAAAAACAAGGGACCCATGTTTGAGGAAAAAGAAAGAGCTGAAGGAGAAAGAAGTGAAATAAGCAGAGGATGTGTATGGAAACTGAGAGACAAGCCAGAGAGCTTTATTTTAGGAGATATATTGAGAGGTAAGTCAGAAAATGAACCAGGGAGATACCTGTGAGAAGGTAGCTAGAAAGAATTAAGAGATAATGAGGCAAAAAGAACAAGGACAGTTTCTAAGAATTGTTGGCATGGGCTCCACAAATTCCATTTGATGAAATTCTTCAATGGCCATTAGGAAAAACTTGGTGGCTAAACTGTTTTTTTTGTAGGTTCATTTGTTTGTTAAAGGTAACACATTGCCATGGTTGGGCCATATTAGCACCTGGCTTTTATCTGGGTCACAGTAGGAAGAGATTTTCCAGAGTTCAATATAGTTCCATTGTTTTTGGAAGCTCAGAGACCCTTAGACATATATTCCAGGAAGATGGCATGGAAGAGCAAGCAACCTATTGACTTGGGGACCAAACAGACTAGTCACTTCTGTTTGTAGATGTGGAGAAAAACTCAGGCATTTCTATGGGTGATGAGGACAAGGACAGTACATCAGAACAGGCACAGCCTACTTCTAGGACTTCATGCTGCTCTCTGTTCCTTGAATTATTTTATACAATTTCCTTTTGTTGGAAATTTCAGTGTTTATATAGTGTCTATTTTCATTTTACTTTTGCTTGCCTTTTTAACTTTCATGGGGACTCAGTGGCTAAGAAACTTGCTGAGTTCATGCGGAGGGCAACAATACACAGTTGGCTGACTCTTGGTTTATGTTTATACACCTTATTGCAAATATTAAGGGGTTGATTGAACAATCAGAAATTACCTAGAATTTTTTTTCTAGAATTCATGGTGACTAGATGAGCTGCAGTATCCTTGTGGCCCTGCTAAAGCCAGACAACTTCTCCAAATCCCAGAACCTTCTATTAGATGTCCTCGCCACTAAGATACAGCATCATCAACCTGTGTACTTACTGCGTGAGTGGGATACCCTCTTCACCCGCTGACAGATCAATGTTGCATTCTTCAGAAACCAGGAGTAGTATTCCAGACAGTACCTAAAGTTTCAAATCAGAGTCGGGAGCAGTCACTGTCCTGTGTTGGCCATGAGAAGACAGCCAGAATCAAAAGAGTAGTTACATGCTGTGGTATATGCCTGTATTCCTGGCTACTCTGGAGGTAGAGGTAGGAGAATCACAGTCCGAGGCTGGCTTAGGAAAAAGTACGAGACTCTATCTGAAAAATAAACTAAAATTGAAAGGACTAGGGTTGTGGCTCGTGTCTCAAGTGGTAGAGTGCCTGCCTAGCAAATGCATGGCCTTGTGTTCAATTCTCAGTACAACAAAGAAAAAAGAGTAATTACACAAACACGAATGTATGGCCAATTATTCACAGCAAGGAATTTCTGTCCATCTTTATAGGGGGTAGAAGAAAAGGCAGGAAAGCTCAAACTTTGTGACCAGCAATACTTTTTTTCTTTCTAATTTGTCATTACTGGGGATTGAATTCAGAACCTTGCACTTGGGTCACTCTGCCAGCCCAAGTAAGACTTATTTTTAATCCTAGCTCCACACTTTATTAGGATCTGTGCTTTTAGGCTGAGTAGTTAATTCTCTGGGTCTTAGTTTCTTCACAGAAAAATGAACGGCAATGATAAAATCTATAGTTACAGGTTGTTTGAGGATTAAATGAGATAACTCGTGCAAAGTACTGTACAGTACTCAGAATAAAGTAGGTGCTAAATAAATGGTGATATTTGTTTGTACCTGAAGGAGGTAGATAGAATGAGAGTGGGGTGTTTCCATTGTTAACAATGCAGCAAACATTTTGCAAAGTATTTTCTTCTCATGGTTCCAGGCAATAGGAATTGCTTCAAAGGGCTTTAGGGATGAGGTCACTGGCCTGTAATTTTCAGCACAGGCTATGTCACTGGCTCACTGCATGACTCAGAATTCATGTCCCTTTCAATCCCCCATTTGACATAAAAGGAGGCCAGGTTCAACATGCTGTAATCTCTCTTCCACCTCATTTTGCATGTTCTAGGAAGCTGTGTGACTAACTGCTCAAATGAGGCACATTGTAAAGATTTCCCAGGTCTATGGCCCCCAATTTAACCAAGGAAAATGTAGGACTATCTTGTCGAGACACAGAGATGAGCAGACTTGCCCAAGAACACTCTGCTTCTAATTGGTCATGCTGGATTTTAACCCAGGTATTCCAACTCATGCTAGAACACACTGCTCTTCTAATAGGCAATATAATCAGTATTTGAGCCAGGACTCTGCCAAGAAAGCAGAACCCATGTGGCTCTAGAGAAGGTACTTAACACTGGGAATTGGTCCTAAAAGGGTTAGAAGAGCTGAAAAAAATAGGGAAATATCAGGAAACCCCATGTCAGCAGCTGTAGGGAGGTGCCAGCCTGGAAGGAGAGAAGAAGGAGAATGAGGGAGTATTGTGGTCAGAACGAACATACAGATGTGGGGTATAGTGAGGATTCCTTGTGAAAGCTAGAGCCATGGAGGAGATAGAGCCATTTTTGGAAATACTGCCCAAAGTAAAAAGACAGGGGGAAAACTTTCCTGGTTTCTCCCTTCTACTACACTCTGATCTCCTGCCAATCTCTTCCACTGCATAAATGAACAGGAATCTGGCCAGCCACATATTCTGGAAATATAGTTTGCACAAGTCAGCCCCTTTGGTACAGGGCTGACCAGAGAAAGAGCAGGGGATGCAGCTGAGAATGAGGAGGCAAAGGATGAACAAAACTTGGTGTGTTCTTTCCATGAGCTTGGAGCAAACAGGCTCAAGGTGACATTTCAAGTGCAGAAGATGTCAAGCCTGGTCAGCTTCACAGTGGACACAGTCAGGAGGCATTCAGTTGCCACAGCCACACCATGTCACGTATGTCAAAGATAAGATTCAAACTTGGCCAAAGCGTGAGAGAAACAACAGTGCACCAGAACCCCACAGTATCTTCATCAGCAGCCCTAAAAACAGCTTTCCAGATGCTGTCAGGAGGAATTAAGTGTAGTATTTCATTTCATGCCACAACCTTCTGTCAGTATAGTAAGCATGTTGTTACCTTCTCCATGAATGGTCTATTGGAATCGTGGAATTTATGGCTGGGGATGTGGACTTGGCTAGACCTATTTTGCATATAAACAAACTGAGGTTCATTGAGATTAAAGAACTAGCCCCAAACCACCTACCTGGCAAGTGGTAAATCCCAAATTTAAACCCAGGACTGTCTGGCCTCCAGATGGATCTTCGATACAGCACACTAAGCTACCTACAAGTTTTGGGGGCCTTGGTTATATGAGCTAGTCTCATTCCTCTTTGGCTAGTATGACAAGGTGCAAGGCCCTGGGGAATGACTTGCTTTACAAAATAATGTTATTAAGTGGGAAAAGATTAAGCCACCTGAGTTCCTCTGTGACTCTTCACACTGCTCGGCCGAGACTTATGTTGCAAAAATCACAGAACCATGACCCACTCCATTACAAGTCAAACACTGCTGTTCTGGGCCTTAATTCACTTTGGCAGAGTACACAGCTTGCAGGATGAATGAAAATTTCCTTTCTTTACCATCAGGAAAAACATGACATGGGCCATCCCTGAGCCCTTGGGTAGAGCATTTTCCCAGTAAGCATAGTGATTTGAGTAATCCATAGACAAACAGCCATAGCTGCTACTTTACAAGGAATGAAATGAAGATTGTGTTAATAACAGATTGCATTAGTTAATACCATAGACTAAGAGTATATGTCTCATGCACAAAATGGTACTTAGTCTTAGAGGAAAACGAGTCATGAAGGCAGTCTGCTGTGTTTGCAGGTTCTTCAGGGCAAAAGCAACACAACAGGTAGGATGAACTGAAGCTCTGTGAAGCACCCACAACCATGCCAACCCAGATGGAGTGAGCAGCAACCTGGACTAAGCAGGAGCCACGGAGTCTTGACCAGTACCTGAGATACAAGAGTTTGAAAGGCACTGAGAGGGAAGGGACCTGGGCTCTGCCACCCTCAAGGAGGGATGGTGTGTTCCCAGATTTTTTACGGCACCCTGGGTGATAGGAACCTTACAAAGGAAATGTTTCAGAAGAGCAAGGCAATTTGGAGAGAAAAAGAGTTTAGGAAATCATAGGGACTAAATAACCAGAATTTACAGGGAGCTAAAACAAACCTAAACTCACAAAGAATCAATGACCCAATGAAGAAATGGGCAAATGAACTGAATACATAATTTTCAAAGGAAGAAATACAAATGGCCAGTGGGATACATGGGGAAATGTTCAATATCCCTGGCCATAAAGAGAATACAAATAAATCAAACTACATTAAGATTTCACCTTACCTCAATTAGAATGGCTTTTCAAGAACACAAACAACAACAAATGTTGATGTGGATGCAGCACTATTCACAATAGCTAAGCTATGGAAACAGCCCAGATGCTCTAGAAATGAGGAATGGATTAAGATAATGTGGTATATATACAAAGTGGAGTATTATTAAGCCATAAAGAAGAATGAAATTATGCTATTTAAGACAGATTCAGAAGGACAAAGTTTGCATGTTTTTTTCATATGTGGAAGCTAGATCCAAAAGATAAATATACATCACAAACACAAACATGATCATCTCTCTCATATATATATAAAACTTGTTTGCAATAGTGGGGCCGTTTGAGGGGACTAGGGGAGGAGAGAGGAAAAGAGAATGACAGAATGATAGTAGGGGTAGGGGGACAGGGAAAAGGAGGGTAGTAGAAAGCATTAATCTTACTAAAGTAAAATATATTCATGGGTGAAATGCCATGGTGAAACCCCTTGAAACAATGAATATCCTCTTAAAAATGAAGGACAGGATTGTAAAACAGATCCTGTTAGGGGGTGAGTACTAGTGGAAGGGGGAAGTGAATGGAGAGAGTAAAAGAGGGTGAATATGGCTGATGTACTTTATACTTATATGAAAATAGAGCAATGAAACCTGTCGAGATCATTTTGAGGTAGGGGTAGGCGAATGAGGAACAGTGATGATGGAGGTGAATCTAATCAAGGTACATTGTAAGTATAAATGGAAATGTCACAATGAACCCCCCGTATGACTAATGTATGCCAATAAAAATGTTAAATTAAGAATAAAAGAATGGACAGAATGAAGGACCGATATTCAAGGGTTCATTATGTTCTATTTCTTCTGAATGGGGAGACAGCAGAAAGTTTGGAGGGGCCTCTGGAACTCCATAGAAAAGGTCTGTAAGAGGTAGCCCAGGTGCTTGAGAGGGCAAGGTCATCTTGAATAGGGATGCCCATTCAATAGCATACCACTGTTGCTACAGCCACATCAATCATCTCAGTGGTCCTAAAATACTCCAGATGGCTTTCACCATGTGTTTCATGTGTTATTCATTTTATCTGGAGTAGTCACTCCCATTTTCTGTCTGAAAAACTCCTATTCCTCTATCTAGCCTTATTGGGTAATCCTCTGGGATCCCACAGCATGGGGTTCAGGACTTGCTATAGCACACGTTATGTTGGTGCTCTTTGCCTCCTTGCCAATTTCCTCACTAAGTGGTATTTTTTGGTTTTGTCTCAGGCAGCGTCTTACTCAAAATAAGCACACCAAGTAACACTATTCTCCAGCACTGATATTCTTGTTCTCTAGTCAGTGCTTTATACAAATTTATGGAACAATTCTCTATTCCATAAAAACACAAGGACAAGAAGAGAAATGACCAGGTTTCATGGCTGTAAATTCAAACTCTAAACTGCTGCCTTCCCTTCTTATTTTTTCAGCTAATATTTGTAAAATAGATGCTTTCAAATGTGAGATTTTTCCAAGGGGAGATGACTAACAGATTTTGCTTGAGTGCATGACTTGCTTCTATCACTGACTATATTTTAATGTGTGTTTATAACCATTTCCCTCCTAATTTTGAAATTCTCAGTTTCTGGGTCTCATTTTGATAGTCCTCTATATCCCTTTGCTTAACACTGTGCATGGCTGGTAGACAGTAGAGACGTTGCTAATTGAAAGAGTTAATGAGAGGAGGCTGATAAAGTCAGTGGATCCTAGACAATACAGAAAGTATTGCTTTGAAGACTTTCTCTTCCTAAGGATTACCCTATGCTATTCAGAAATGCCTTTGCCTTGCTGGTTCACATGCTTGGGACAGACGGAGGAAATGACCATACTGACCGAGGGACTCCTAGACCAAGGCCAGGAAAGGGTAAGGGGGAAAGGCTACGGATCTGGACTTGAGGCTCACAGACAGTGGATAATGGAGATCTCATGAATAGACTTTGAAAATAGAGGTAAAGATCTAAGAAACTGGTTCCCAGACCCCCAGAGCAGGGGTATTCATCTCTGCTGTAGGGTTCTGGATTTATAGTCAAGAATAAATCCTAGAAGATGGGAAAGCATGTCAGTATTGAAGTGTTGCCTAGACCTGCTTAATAAAATGTGGTCTGTCTTCTATGTATTTTTTATAGGTTTTTGCATTTGAAAGGCAGGTTATTTCAAGGGATTTATGGAAGATCTGTACTTTAGATAAATGTGTGTTATGTTTATGCACTCCTTTAGGAAACTTCACCAGGTTGAGGGCACTAGGATGGAAGACACTCAAGACCTTGGTAGCAATTCTACTCACTACAGTGCAACTCATCTCAGTTCAACTCAACTCACCACACTTCAACCCAACTGAATTCATCTCAACTCAAAACAACTCAGCTTGTCTCAGTTCCACACAACTCAGTTCACCCCAGCTCAACACAACTCATGTCAGTGCATCTCAACTTTCAAATCACATCAGCTTAGCCCAACCTCATTCACTATGTGTCAGGCCCTGCACTTGGTTCTGGGAACCCAGAAATGAATGAAGTCCACTGGTGTCTATTAAAGAAATGACAGTCTAGTAGAGGACTCATGGGTAAATATATCCTTTGTGGTACCCCCGTCACCTGTCTGTGAATTATTTGATGCCTGGCTTCCTTGCGTCTGACAAAGAAGCCACACAGAAGAAGCAGCCAACGAATGTTGGATACGAAAATGAGCAACTGACCCAGGTTACCTCATGGCATCTGAACTTGGATCCCTCATCTGGCTTACACAGAGGCATTGCTGGAAGAAGCGGCACAGCTCCATCAGGCATAGGTTGAGCTTCTGGATGGCCAGGGGAAGAGGAGCAGCTGTCACGGCCCCCTCTTTGAGAGGCAACTGAGGACACCCTAGAAGATTCAATCTCACACCAGTCAAATCAAGCAGAGTTTGGCAAGCCCCTTCCTTTGGGGTAATCACGTGTCAGGTGAGTATAGTCTCATCCTGATCTCAGGTAACTCTGAGACAGACAATAAACACAGGTGGCTTCCTCATGGCCTGTTAATGCTATGTGTACATTTCGAGAGATGGGTAGAGATCAGGTAGGGATCGAGTTCCTGGAGGAGAGCAGAAAAAGTTTCACTGGAAATCACATTCTAGACAAGGATCAAAAATGTTGAACAGAAATGCATCAGGTGCAAGGCAGGTTTGGTGTAAGAGAGTCCATGATGACTTGGCAATCATGCAAGGGGATACCTTGCTGAGGGGAAGAGGGCATGGTGTGTGCGTGCGTTTTGTTTAATGTGTGACTTTTAGGAGAAAGAAGCAAGTAATACAAGAGGAAAACAAGAGACTTTTCAAAAATTCCATCCCTTTTGGATCTCCTGAAGTTGAGACAGTTTCCCTGTGACTATGCCTATGCTTCATCATACAGAAAATAAGGAGACTCAGACCCACCATGTAGGGAGACTGGGAAAATTAAGTGGGTTAATTCATACGAAACATATGGCAAAGTTCCTGCCGTGAGATGAATAAGAAAAAATAGCTAGTATTAATGTTGACATATTCATTAAAACTTTATTGAGCTTCCACAATGTTCCAGGTACTGTTTACAGACACTATAAGAAAAGGTGTAGAAAGTGAATGTGGTGGAAGAATTAGGTACTCATGTATGCAAATAGAAACATGAGACCTGTTGAAACTGTTCCAGGAATGAGGGGAGAGTGGGATAAAGGAGAATGATGGACAAGGTGAATTCCACTAAGATATATTGTAAAAACTTTTGTAAATGTCACAGTGTACTCCCAGTACAACAATAATATGGTAATAAAAATAAATTTTAAGAAGAAGGAACAATCTTCCTCTCATAGAGTGTACCTCTGGTGACATAAAGATTATATTAAGATATCAAAAATTACCCCACAAAGGGTCATCCATCCTTGTCAAGAAAAATTATTTAACACTTGGAAATAAGCAGAGAGGAAGAGTAGGTGCCCTGTAGTACGGTTCTGATTATTGTCTAGCTGAGGCTGGTTATATTGGAGTGTGCACCTTTAACAGATATTGTTGAGTAGGTGGTCTTGCAGCCCTGAAGGGGTAAGGGTTAGCTGATAGCAATATAAATCATTTTCGTCTGAGAACAATGCAAATAACTCCTGTCCATAGAAATGCAAATGAAGTGTGTCTGGTAAGTATGTAGTTCATTATTGCCCAGTTTTTAAAGACCAGATTATTTTAGCTTATTATATAGAATATTAATTAGCAAGTTCATTTGAGATTTCCTTTCACTGATATTGCAAATCTGTTTTTCTTAGATTCTCCATGGAATCAGTCTTAACATCTTCCTGATCTCCTCATTGATTAATGAGTTAAATAGCATCTTTGACAAACTAACATGCATTCCTTGTATATTTTTGTGAGATTTTTAAGTCTTTGAAATTATAAGTTATCAGTGATATATCCATTAAGTAGAAAGGGGTCTCACAATGTTAGAGAAAGACAACAAAAATATGTATAAAGAAAATATTTTTCCTGTATCAACTAAACATTAAATCCTCCAGACCACTGACCAATTTCTTCAGTGTGTCAAGATTTTGTTTCTCTAACATTCATTAAGCACCTGCTACGAATCAAGCACTTTCCTAAAATCTTGGCATACATTACCTCATTTAATCTGTATGAAACGGATATTGGAAGTACTACTTATCAAAAAGGATAATGAGAGTCCAAGTTACTGTGCAGCTGGATCAGTCATATAACAGGGAATGAGTGACTGGAAAGACCTGACTCTGGGTCCATGCTAATAACCACACAATTTAGTATTTTAACCCAGTTAACGCCCTCAATGCTTGATTTCCTTGCCCAGCTCCCATGCATGCTTCTCCAACTCAGGAAATGATACTCATGAAATTCCCTCCCTCCTGAAGCTCATTACACCACCATCACATCCTCTCCATTCTGTCTCCTAAATATTACTCAAGCCCCCCTGCTCACACCGTTACCTTCTTAGGTCTGGCCCCCATCATCACTGCCCAGCCTCAGCACAAAGCTTCCTCATCAGATTCTCTGCTTCCATCCTTGCCCTACAGACTCCACTTTGGTCAGAGAAATATTTCTGCAGTGTACATGTGATCACATGGCTCTCTTGTGCCTCAGAGAGGATAATGCTCGTGATGTGGCTGCAAGGCCCTAGTGATTCCACTCTTGCTGACTTACTCCAGCTTCACTCATCATGGTTCTCACCTTCAGCACAGAATTTCAGCCACAAAGGCTCTTCTCAGGTCCTGGAAGAACTGGTCTTTCTGGGCTGCAGCACTCTCACTTATGCTAAGCCTTGGCAGTATTGTGTGCTTAGAGGTACCTTGTTCAGACATTGTTTAGATTGTGCTCGCTCACTCAGATTCTTGAATGACCCTCCAACTACATAGCATTTACCACTCTTCCTCTAAGAACCTTACCACAGTCTTCCTTTCACTGCAGTCTTTTGTACACATGCCACATCTTGGAAGAGGCAGCATGGAAGCGAGGGATGAGGATGGGCTTTGGAATAAGGCAGATCTAAACTCAAAACTGATCAAGAAATTGAGCTCAAAACTGACCAAGATAGATAGATAGACAGATAGATGGATGGATGGATAGATAGGTAGATAGATAGACAGATAGATGATAGATATGGATAAGATAGATAGTAAATAGATATATAGACAGATATCACTAGGTACAAATAGACGAGAGATGATGGATGGATGGATGGATGGATGGATAGATAGATGATAGATAAAGATAAGATAGTAAATAGATATATAGACAGATATCACTAGGTACAAATAGACGAGAGATGATGGATGGATGGATGGATGGATGGATAGATAGATGATAGATAAAGATAAGATAGTAAATAGATATATAGACAAATATTACTATGTACAAATAGATGAGAGATGGATGGATGGATAGATAGATAGGTAGATAGATAGATAGATAGATGATGGATATGGATAAGATAGATAGTAAATAGATATATAGACAGGTATCATTAGGTACAAATAGATGAGAGATGATGGATGATGGATGGATTGATCGATGGAGTCAATGGTATAGCTATGGATTCATATGTAGATATGGATATAGAAAATAATATAGTCAACTTGTTTTCTACAATTCAGATCTGACAACAAGCCCTCTCTGAACCACCTGTGTGTTTCTTTAGAACTCCTGGCAGGGAAAAGGAGTACAATTTCCTTTGGAAACATAATTGCAATTGTTTCTGAAAGATCCATTCACCATTCAAGATGGGCAGATCTGAGGTAATATGAAAATGGAGGTGACACAGCTCCAGTAATTAATAGTGCCCTGTTGACATTTAACTGAACAGTCCCAGAATGTTCAGGAAGCTAATATAGAAAGGAATTCAGGAGTGGGAGGGACCAACCAGCTTTAAAGGATTCACTTTGTATCAATTTCAGAACTGGAGCAACAGAAAAGAGAATGAGACTTCCTAACGTTTTAAAAAAAGCAGCAAAAAGCAAAGAAACTCACATTTTAAGAATTCTTAGAATCAGCTTCAAGCCCAGGAAAAAGCTTTTCCTCAGAACCATGAGAACTAAGTGTGCAGATATAGAGCCGGTGGATGTCCTTTAAAACAGAGCCACGGTAAATTGTGCCCAGCAAGTGGGACTTGGACTTAGAGTCGTCTTTTATTCTTTCCCTTCTCTCTGTGGACAAGCATGCTTATCCTAAGAGCAGCTCTGGTTGTACAATGTCCATAGGTCTTCATTCAATCAAAGCTGACTACATGAAATTACAAAGAATCCTATAATCTCAAATCACCTTCATTATCTTATTTAATGCAAAACTATATAGTGCTTACAATAATTGTGATTTTTTTTTGCATTACAGTTAAAGAAACTTGGTTCTGGAAGCTGAAATTCCAATCCTAGAAGCCTGGCTCTAAATTTATCAAAAAACCTCTGTTAGACCATACAGCCTCCTTCAAAATAAGCACATGCAAAAGCAATGGCTGGGTATTGCCTGCTACTCACTTGAAACTTGGTGTGGTGCTGGGACCAGGACTGGCTCTTCCGTAGGTGTCAATGGCCACTCTACAGGGATATCACCTGCAAGGGGCAAGAACAGCATTCCAGAAAGTAAAAATGAAATAGTCTTGGGTTATACCCTCAACCAGTGAATCATAACACTCAATCATAAAGAGTTCTCAAAATCCATAGGGAAATTGAAGGAAAGTGGTTTATCCAGGATCACAGGATAATTTAGCAGCACAGCAAGGCTGATGATAAACCAGTTCTCCTGCCACTTTTCCTGTGAGAACCAGTAAAGTACAACCAGCTTTCTCTGTGTACTGATACCCCTTGTTTTACCCCATCCTGACCCCTATTCGTGCTTTCTCCCACGGTACTGGATTTCTTTTTCTGGTGGTGCTTTCTCACCTGTTTGTGGCTCTCGAGGGGCTGGTGCTTTGGTTGGATTAGGAGTCTGTGTGCCAGGAGTGACTGTAGCTGAGAAAGGAGGAGAGAGAAATGAGTCTGTATCTCTTCAAGTGAATCCTGACCTGGAGAAGAGGCTCCATGCCATCAGTACTGCTCTATACAACCAGTGATGGTTATGAAACCAGGCACTACACAGGGTGTTGAGGATTCAGAGATGAGGAACAAATAGAGACCCTGATGGAGGTGCTCCAGGTATAGAACAGGGAATGAGCAAGTCCTATCTGCAAGTGTGGTGAGGTGCGATGGAGCCATAGGGAATCAGCTAATATTGGTAAGACACAGTGATGCTACATGGGAGAGTGGTGGTGTAGAATAAGAAGTGTGTGAGTGTGGGTCCCTAGGGCAAAGACAACCTGGTATGCTTTTCATCCATCCAAGTCTTCGTAGTGTACACATGAACTCCATCCCTAATCCCAATCAGTCTCCTATAAACCATTTTCATGACAGAGAATGGGCTCAGTTGAACATGTCTTTTTTTTCTTTTATAATGGTCATAAAGTCTTGGTTTAATGACCTCTTCAGAACCTGATCCTTGCTATAAAGAGTCTGGCCTCTGACAAAATAGCAAAGCAGCCTCCTTCTAGGGTATGAGGGATGAAATAATTAAACCAGCAGTTTCACCCATGTGGATAAGTGGAAAGAAAGGGTGAACCTGAGCTACAACTTGAGCCAGGTCAATGAGCACCCAATTCAGGCATGGCAGATAGCACTGACTGAGACAAGGAACATATGGGTAGTGAGGAGTATGGGCCTCCAGGCAAAGCAAAGAGCTTGTGCAAAGTCTCTGAGAAATGAACAACAAGCAGTGCACTGTGGCTGGAATCCAAGGGTGAAAGTAAAAGGTGAAGCTAGGCTGAGAAGAAAGCTGAAGGATAGAGCCTGGGATCCCACACCCATATCGCTGCAAAATTGCTCCCAACTTACTACATTCCTCTGCTATACTGTGAGTGCATTAGTGTTTAATTCAAAATAACTGCCACTCTGTGGACCACTGTGTGAATGACAGAGGCAAGCACTATGACCAATTCACACACAGACCATTAAGGGCAGAAGCAATCTTGTCATTTTCTTAGAGTGGAACAACATCTTTCTCTTGATTTCCATTCAGGCATTGGACTGTAAGGCCCCAACCCTGAAAGCATCAGTTAGTGCTTATTTCTTGTATGTGCTTTGATGTAGTTCTAGACACTGAGTAGCCTAATCTGGGCCCAAGTACAGAGTTGCCTGTATATGACTGTCATTTATAGTTTGATTGAAAGGCTACAGATTAACATGAAAGGGACCAAGGGCACTGTCTCCTAAAGCTGGCCAGTATGTCCTGCAGTGGGTGGGTGGGACAGGTTAGTGAAGTTGTCATCCACTGAGTGCTTCCCACATGCTACTTACTAAGCCAAATGCTCTGCAGACATCACCAAAATTAACAATCACAGTAATTCTGAAAATTCTCATTTCGTAGATAAGAAATGCGTGACTCAGAGGGTGAAAGATGCTGCCTGTGTACACAGTATAAGTAATAAGGACTTGATTTCAACCCAGCTACGTCTGAAATAGAGAGTAAAGTTCATGGTCCCAAGATAGCTGTTGTCCTGCTGACCAGACCCAAGTTCATTAGCTTTCCTTTTCCCTGAAAGTAACACAAATGCCTAACCAATGAAACTCAAGCCATTACTTTGGGTGTTTATACAATTGAAGCTATCAAAATGGCATTTCCAGACTTAACTGAGATTTTTGAGCCCAAGTCAAGATATTTCATTTGTGTCTGTTAAATTTCATTTAATACTGTCCCAGTACACCTTAAGAAATTCAGCAATTTGACAAACATACTGAATGCCTGCTGTGTTTCACAGGAACCTGAAATAAAAGGCATATGTCCTTGAAGACAATGTAGCCCAGAGGGGAAGAATGACAAGTTCATAGACACTAAGAGTACAGCTATGGTGCATATTACAATCCATATAGTACAGCTACAATGTGTATTGCAATACACTAACCATGGGGAACATGGGAGACCACACTGTAAGTATAAGTGATTTTACAAGAAAATAATTTTTAAAAATGATTTTTTCCATAGGAGTAGCAAATGTATAAAATTAATGAAGGTGGAGTGAATTAAAAAAAATTAGGAAGAATTTACTTCCCAGATAAAATCTGGGCACTACAAGTTTATATACAAGATAATCCAAAGGCATAAACTTTACCATGAACTGCAATTTAGGGACCAAAGTGAACTTTGCTTGCCTAAGCATCAAATAAAGAAAACATCCTACAAACTACTTGGGAACTCAGCCAGTGAGGGTGTGTGTGTAGGAATCAGTGGGCCCTGCCTCAAATTTAACCAATGCATTTCTAGTCATGTGACATAGTGTGATTGTGGGGTTTGAGGTGCAGAGACCTCAAAGAGAGGCATGAGCTGTTGCCCTGGCCATCTCTACACTGTGAATTTTGGGCAAGTTACTTAGTTCTTTTTAGGTTTATCATTAAACCAGGAGTAATAATAATAATTACTGCCCAAGAACATCACAGGATTATACTGAATTATGCCAATATCCCCTAATGGGTCTTTTAAGAAATGTTTGATTGCTTTATGTTCCTATGGTAGAAAAATGAAATGATTTTCTCCAAGTTTTATAAAACTAATCCTATTGGAGGTTTTTACAGCTCTGAGTTTAGTTGGGAAAAATTGTCATCATTAAAATATTGACTTCTCGTCCAGAACTTGGTATATTCCTTCATGTACTTAAATATTACTTTACTATTCTCATTAACATTTTATAGTTTTTCTTATACAAAGTCAGCACTTTTCTTTTTGGGGTTATAGCTAGGTGGTTTAGGACTTTTCTTGTCTCTAGCAATTGTATCTATTTTTCATATTATACTGGAAAGTTTTCTAATTTTGCATAATTATTGTGATGCCAACTGTTTTACTTACTTTTTTTAGTAAATCTAAAAGTTTTCTACGTAGTGAAATTGAACCTTGTCCTCTCCACCCATTCATCCCTGTTTCCTTGCCTGCCTGACTCTTGTCAATTCTTATCTCTGTGAGGAAGCCTCTGTTTCCTGCTATCCTGCATAGGAACCATACACTGGGCTTCACTTGTATAATAGCGTTTTGTAGGCTAGATCATGATTGCAGTTTACTTGTCCATGTCTCCCTTCTGTCGTAGTTCAGGAGGGAAAGGGAACATTTATAGAGCTGTGTTGTCAGCAGATAGCCTAGTGACCGGGAGCTATCTTTGATAGCTTTGATGAGTGAGTGAGTCAATGAATGAATAAATGAAAGAGTTCTGGTGTCTCTGGTCCATCGTTGGAATAGGCAATATTGACTGTTAATGAAAGCGATGATTCAATTTCATATTATTTCCAAACAGGAAGTAATAGGTCAGCGTGCACTTTGTGTATTCAGCACAGCTGATCACATGCACAAGATAGTAGAGACTGAGGAACCTCTTGGTGAGTCACTGATGGCATCTTTTCATGCTCATGTGAAGTCATTACCATGCTATTGGCATCAATATCGAACGAGCTGCAAACTAACCTAACCTTGTGACAAAATGTTGACTTCACCATTTCCAGTGAATTCCCAGAGAGAGAGAGAGAGATTGCTAAGGACTTTGTTGAAATAAAAATACCTTAGGCCGCAATGTACTTTAATTATGTAAGACATTAGTATTGGGGAAGGCTGTGTGAAGGGGATCAAGAGCTTTCAGAACTGGTTTTTAAACTTCTTGTGAATCTCAGACTATTTCAATGTAAAAAGCTACACACGTAATGTTCACAGTCCATTTTGCCAATGACATTTGCTGGCTTGACCTTATCTATACTGCTCCTGCAACCTATGTAATTGCAGGAGGTGGCTCGGCTCATAGACTCCTCTTATTAAATTAAGATTAGGTGGTGGAGGGATATAGGGAACGATCTCATTTACTTATGTTAGCCTACAGGGAGCAGGAGAGAGTAAAGGAGAGGAAAGCTTGAGATTGGCTTACCTAAGGCTGAGAGGGTGTGAAAGGCACTGCTCCAGGTGGCTGTAGCCTTGGGAAACTCAAGGAACCTTTCTGTGTTCCCCATTGCCTCTCCCTCTGAAGGAGAACTTATCTTTCCGAGGGGGAATGTCCTTGGAGGAGACGTCCAGGGTGTGCTCAGAGCCCAGTGTGGAAGTCTTGTCCTAGCCAGTGTCCGTTGGCTTTGGGTTGTGGGCTTTGATGTCCCAGCTGCTTCTCTGGTAGCTGCACCTCCTGGGAGATGTTCAATGGCAGCTTTAGCATGCTTGACACTCTGGACACAAAGAACTGTTGAGTCACTGAAAGACCAGTGTACAGCAAGTATACAGAATGCAAATATTCCAACTCCAAACCATAACAAATGTCACCAAAAGACATGTTTCCTCTTGAATAATAAATTAAACTAAAATAATCAATCTCCCACAAAGCTGTGTGATGAACCACTGTGAACAGAATGCAAAGTTTGTCAGCCCTAGAATCTCCAGTCATTCAATGTTTCTTCTGATCAGACCCTGAATCCAGCCAGAATCCTCAAGCCACTTCACAGCCTTCAGCTACCCCATGTCTCAGGCATTTGTCCCTGGAAGAGGTCACAGGATTTCTCCATGTGTCCTAGGTGTACATCTAGGAATCAGAGATAGAAATTAAGGGAGATAGGGGCTTCCTACCTGAAACTTCTTGAAAGGTAGGTCCATATAAAGACAGAGTGGTAGATTATAGTACAAAATAAACCTGTTTTCCCTGTTTGTTCCATAAGCAAAAGGAGAAAAAAATCTGAAATGTTAAATTTACCTTCCTTAGGCCATGCTTACATAGTGACAGGGTGGAGAGTATAGATAGCAAGATAAGAGGCCCCCAGTAGCCCATAAGGTCACTTCATCTGTGTGAACAAAGACTGCCTTGCTGGATTTCCATCTCCACTTGTCCCTTTGTCAGGACTAACCTATGTAATTGCAGGAGGTAGCTCTGCAGCCTTGTTTCCTCTCTCCTTCCTCATGTCTAGACCTCCAACACCTCATAACATTACCAGCCTGAGTCTTGCTCCCAGGCTAGGTCAGCATGGTGCTAAGTGTATTAGCCAAACTATCACCTGGCCTGGTGACTGTCCATCAGGCCTATCAACAGTAGTGTCAAATTATAAATCTGTTGTCCATTCCTAAGCATCTGTTCTATGGAAGGAGTATTAAACGGGAGACATGCTTGATACTGAAGGTGGGAAGGCAGAGGAAAGACTCCCTAAGAAAGTGAGATTGACTTGACCCTCAGCTCTGTCCTCAGTCCTGGGCAATAAAGGCAACCTGCTAAGCACCCAGTTCATCTGATCAAACACCCCTATCTCATAGAAAATGAGTTTCCTAACAAAGCATGACCAAGAGACAATCCACAATAAACACAAATCAAAGCAGCACACTGAATGGAACTGGAGACTTACCATGTCTTTTGTTCCATACCAGAGACTAAGGAAGATCTGACTATGTGAGGGATACTGAGGGGGAAGACAGACTGTGGGACCAAAGGAGACTTGTCTCTGCCTTTAAGTATCATTTACTGAAGAGGCACACATGGAAATGACTCTGTGATACAACCTAAAGCAACACAGTCCAGATGATGAAAAGGTGTTGCACGGTAGGACAACAGAACAAAGAAGACAGATTTTGATTGGAGGATATTTAGGAAAGAGAAGGCAAAGTGTGAGGTGGCAACTGACAGGAAACACAAGCTCTGCATCAGAAAAAGTAGGGAAAGAACTCCAGACAGAAACAAGATCATGAACAAGGTAGCACAGAAGGGCATGGAGAAGTCTTCTACCTGCCATGAGGGCAGTGACTTCATTGAGGATGTAGCAGAGGAGTCATGAAGAAAGGACAAGGAGTCAAGTGTGGGCTTGAAGACAGAGAAATGCATTCTCCAGGCTGAGGAGTTTGGACCGTCTCCTGCTGCCTGTGGAGTTCTGAGCAGCAAAGGGATGTAACCCAATACACATATAAGCACCATCACTCTTATAATGATGGATATTTTAGAGAAATGCAAGAGGCAATTGTTCAGAGTCTGTTCCAGTTCAAAGGTAGCTGATGAAGATTTGAACCAGAACTCTCACAACAGCAGGTGATCTCAGAGGAGCTGCCAGATTCCAGTAACTCTATTCAGCAAGAAATGCCAACACTAATGGTCCTAAGTGCTAAGGGCACTTAATGGTGGTTCTCAAAATGCCACGTGGTGACGCAGAGGGAGACTGGAGGATTCTTGGGTAGGAACTGGAAATTATAGAGTGGCAATGTCGGTAGAACAGAGTCAAAATTTCAAACATCTGCAAAAGCAAAATAGTTAAAACAAAAAACAATGTTCAAGAAAACAGGGATCAAAGAAGAGTATGGGATCAGGAGAAAGGTGTCTCTTCTAATGCGGGAATGGAGCTATAGCTACTCTAGATACTCTGCTCCAGTTGCTTGTTGCCATGGAGAGGAGGATCCAAGGTGAAAGGACCATTTTTTACAAGAGACTACAGTAACTCATAAATTTTTTTAATTGCTGAAATCTTCTGATATTCTAAAATACAAGATAGGTAAATAAAATGCCTAAGGGCAGCATTCAGTCTCCACTTTGCCCTGGGTGGGGAGCCCTGCCTCTATGGGAGGAGGTTGAGAGGTTGCACTCACCAACGGTACCAGCTGCATTGCTGGTGAATGTGTAATTGATAACAGGGGGTCTCTCAGCCATCACCCAGAAGTCAGAAAGATTCCTTCCTGCAAAAATCACACCAATGAGATGGAATCTGGGGTTCGTCTACTGGAGGGTTTTGCTTCAGGCTCAGCCAGGGAGCTTTGAGGATGCTGCTTCTCACCTGACTTTCCTGCCATCACGCAGATGAAGATGCAATCAGATTCATTCGTCTGACTCACTGTGATACAAAACAAGACAACAGGATTTAGCCATGGTTGCAGGCTAAGTCCTGGTTGAAATGAAAATTTAGGCTGGAAGTACCTAAAAGTACCCATTCAAGGATGACATAGGATAATAGGCTAACTCCTTATTCTTAAGGTGCCCCTCACTTTCCAATTTCTTTCCTTTGTTTGGCGGGGTGGAGAAGGAAGGAGATGGTATATATAACATAGTAGATAAGTATTGTATGTCATTTAAACAAATGATTACACAGCAATTTAATAATACAGTCTACTGTTGATGAATACTTGGTTCATTTCTGCTATTGTAGACAATGCTATTAAAATATATTTGTATTGGTAAAAATATATAGTGGGTGGGGGCACAGCCTGTTTCAAATCAGATTGCAGGCCACAACGTCAACTCTGCCACTTACTAGCTATGCACCATGCGAACAAGTGAACTGCTTGACTTGTTTTTTCATCTTACAGTTTTATTACAGAATGTTAACATTCAGGACACTTCAGAGCACCTTATACTTCTATTCAGATTTTTGGTAACTGGTTAGAAGAGAGTTACTTGAGTATTTTTCACATACCAATGTTCAGGCAAAAGTACCACTCAGTGATTTTTTAAGAGATGTTAATTTGATTAGACAATTTACGGAGAAAATTCAAATCCTTTATTTGCAATTCCTAAATCCTCGGATCTCAGTAAGATGAAAAGTTTTGTTTGAGTTTGGCAGCAAAACTCATTTGGTGGCAAAACCTGACTTGACAGATGTGAGGCTGTTACAATCTTTACCTATTGCATGTTAAACATTTTGCTCAATGAAGGTGACATGGTGGATTTCAGCAGGATTCCCTGGGCGCTTGTGGAGGGGTCATATCAGTGTGCTGTAGACACCCCATGAAACCTTCAGAAGTCTGAAAACTTCTGAGCCCCTACACACACTTAACCCTGAGGATACTGCTTTGAGGACTGTGGTCATGTGGTTGCATGTTCCTCATAGGATGACTATAAGAATCCAATGAGACAATGTGCGTGAAGTGCTGAGTGAGATGGAAGAACATTATAAATAATCACTGTTAATGTGTTACTTTTATTATGTGCATTAGCATAGTGGCATAGTGACGAAAGCATAGCCCAAGAGCCATGTTGCCTTGGGTTAGAATTTTGTCTCTGCAGAGTGATCTTCCACCAACTACTTAACCTCTCTGGGTCACGATTTCCTCACCTGTAAAGTGGGGATAAAGGCAGTAGCTTCCCTATGAGGCTGAGTGAGGGAGCATGTCGACAGTCCTTGGAGAATCCCTAGCACCTCCTGGTATCTGTTGTGATTTCCCCCTCTCCTTCCCTCCTGCTTATGCAGCAGTAGATGCCCCATCATGTACTACACCATCTTTCTGCTGAGACCAACTATTGGACTCTAGTCTAGACATATGGTTTTCAAAGTGTGTCCTTGGGAGAGTGTGATTTGCCTGGGGCTTTCATGAAACCACCTTATAAATGAGACATGTCTTTCTTCTTTTAATGTATTTTTTGGCAGTACTGGGGTCTTAACACAAGGAGTCTCAATTGCCACCCTACCACTTGAACCATACCTCGAACGCTTTTGGCTTTCCTTTGTTTTTTAGATAGGGTCTTGCACTTTTGTCCTGGGCTGGCCTCAAACCATGATCCTCCTACTTCTTCCTCTGGAGTAGCTGGCATTACAGGTATGAACCACCATGCCTGGCCCATGGGGCAGATCTTTTTAAATTGTGGGCTAGTTCCCATATAGATCTAAGTCTGAATTCTGGCACCAATCATGAGCAAAATACTCCTCATCCTGGGTCTGAGTTTTCTCATCTTTATAATAGAAGCAGAGCTGCCACCCAAAGCTATTTCCTTGAATCTGCTGAGATTCTCTCTATATTGAGCCTTAGATTTGTCCTCTAATTTTCTGGACCCCAGGAATACTTCTGATTCAAAAGTGGAGCCTTCAAGTACTGGAGTTGGAAACGGACCACAATGATAACCTAAATAGAGCTTACTTGAAGGTTCCTGGCACCTGACCTGGGCAGGGGCTCAAATGGGGAAATGTAGTAGGCTTGATTTTCAGTTCCATGACAAAGGCCAACCCTCAGACTTGCCAGGTACTTTCAAGATAAACACACCTGAGAGAATGGAGGTTGACTTAAAAATCTCCGTAAGGTAGCTGGTAGAGTTCCCAATGATGTCCACCAGCAGGGCTGTAAAATCTGCAAAACAGGTTTGGGAGGGTTTGGTTTCTGACTCACAGACTTAAGGGGAAAATATATCCTAATTTGGATTTTTCAGAATAAATTTTAAAAGTTCATTTTAGGTCAATCTACTAGCTAGATCAATGATTATATGAGTAATCACATGAAGAAAAACTACTGGTTCTAAGAAAAGAGAAAAGGTCCATTTCAGACAAGCAGAAAGCTTTAGGAACCACTATTGTAATCCCCTCTCCTTCCATTGACCTCTCCCCACCTCTCCTCTGCTCACACCAAAGACTGCAGGTTTTTTTATATAATGGTTTTCCTGTTTTCTCCCAGATACATCATCTAATTGTTTAAATTTATCTGAGAGAAAACAGACCCACATATATATAAGGTAAGTTTACATAATTTTGGAATTTGGAAATGCAATGTTGAATTCAGTGATCAGTTATAAACTGCACACTACAGAAAGAGACAAGGCTCTTTATAAAAGATTACTAAGAACCTCTCATTTGCCCACTTTGTTTAGAGGGATGATGGGAGGAGTCTAGGAGAAGTTTTCAGCATTTCAGATTACTGGAACTTGGGGGAATTTCTCTCTGAGCAAGGTTTACATAGGACCTTTGTTGACATGGTAAGCACTCTGACCAGTAATGTTTCCTGCTACACTTCTAGACAAGCAGCTGCTACCTGCTCCTCTGGTCATTTCTGACTCTCCAGGATCCAAGTTCTTGACTTCTGTAACACGGGGTTGCTGTTGTTGGAGCCTTAAACATTGATTTTTCTGAATACAAAGCTGCTGGGGTCAGAGTGATTTCCCATGATGCCTTCTTTTACTAATTGGTAGGATTATGAGTTTGGGAAAAAGAAAGCAAACTTGAAAACAAACAACCCAGATAGGCAGGAAAACAGCTGTGACAATGAGTAGTTGCACAACATGTCAAGACTGCAAGAAGATGGGCATTGCTATGTGCGAACCTGAGCCATCTGTAATTTTACTACATCTGTGTGGCTACATGGTTAGTCTCCCAGGTCAAGAAGTGGTAGTACACCATGAAGGTGTAGAAACCTGCTTATGTAGAAGGTTGGCAACTGAAGGCATCTTTTCTACCTTATATTGTAGAAATGGTTGTTAATATGACTTCCTTTCCATGTAGGATCTCATTACGTATTCCATCTGTTTTCCATCTACTTCTCAAAATTCTCATTTATTAATTCATAATAATATCTATTGAGTGTTTTCAGTGTGCTACTTACCTGCTATGTGCTGGGGAGCTTTATAAAACATACAGAAGAAGCTAAAGTTAATGCGAGAAGGAGATCCATAGGCCAATAAAATGCAAGGTTGGAATCTACTATTGACATTGCATGGAAGCCACAAGAAGGGTTCTGTTATACAGACACCAAGGATGACATCCAGGCTCTGCCCAAGGCTCAGGGAGATGATGGAACTTGCCTAGGACCTTGTAATATGTGCAGGAGCTTAGACTGAGCTGAGGTCTGCCTTGAGTCAAAACTTCCCCCCTTCCCAATATTTCTGCCACCACTCCTTCAACCTTTTGCTTCCCACCTCTGTCAATTCCCCCTTTAAAGCTGCTTTCAAACAGGTTCATTTGGCTTGGAAGAAACCCAGTCATTATTGCTCCAAGGATATTCTTTGTTTTGATGGAAATTTCATTACTTAATTTACTCGCAGTGCTCATAGATGCATTATTTCTTTCTGACTACCCTCATATATAGACTTGGTACTCAGTGTTAGCAAGAATGTGGAAAAGCATACACATTCCAACATTGTTGCTAAGAATGTAAAATTATGCAAATTTTTAGAAGAAATTTTACCAATTTGAATCACCACAAGATTGTTTCCCTGTCAGCCAACAATTCAATTTTGAGTGCTTTATCCTACAGAGATAATTGGGCAAGCACTCCAACTGATTTTGCACAGGTGTTCATCATAGTATTGTTTATAATTATAAAAATATCTGGAATAAATTAAGTTTCCAACAAAAGAGACACAATAAATAAGTCCTGGCCCGTTCTTTCAGTGAATACCATGCAGTCAGATGAAGGACGGGGCCGATTTCTATGCATAAGGATGGAATGGTTTTAAAATGTACTCTTCCAATTCCTTACGTAAAACAACATCAAATTTTCATTGGGCACACAGTCGCTTAACATAAGGACTATATTTTCAAACTTGCTTCATAGACAAGTGTGGCCATGTCACTAAATTCTGAGTGACAGAATGTGAAAGAGAGAAATGTGAGCAGTTTCTACACTGAGTTTATTGAAAATGGGTATGCCTTCCATGTCCTTTCTTCCTTTCTCATAGCTGGAGTGGGGGTGTGGTGACCAGCCACTTTGCACTTTGAGAACAAAGGCATCGTGGAAGGCAGAGCAATAAGCTAGAGGGAATCTGGGATCCCAAACCATCAAACTATTTGCCTTCGTACACCTGGTTCTTGCTCACATTGTCACACATGAAAACAACTTTTACTTCTTTAAACCACCCTGTTTTAGGGCTACTTGTTATAGTAGCCCAGCTTGTATTTTAATAATGTAGAGATTATGTTCCTATATGTAAATTAAGAGGCTAGAGAGATGGGTAGGCAGTTGGAGTAGACAGGTAGGTTAGATAAGTAGGCAAGATGACAGGTGGAATGGATAGGTGGGTTACAGAGGATACCTTTGGATTATGTTGCTCAAAATGGGAATAGTGATGACCTATCAATGATGGGATATCAGGTATTTATGGTTGTTTTGCCAAGGTTGGATGGTATTTTGACATTATAGTACATTGCTTTTAAAAATCAAGACAGTGATCCTTTAAAACATGTATAAGTACAGTTTGGTTTATGAAGTAGAATTATAAATTCTCTCTAGGCAAGTGCAGCATTTTACATTTTATTGTCATTTTTCACACATCAGGGTCAGTATTATGCAGCACAGGACTTGGCCCTTACCAGGGGTGGGGAAAGTGTGAGAAATGTGATTATGGAAGAGTTTCTTCATCTCCAGTTTATTTTGCTGATGATATTCACAGGGTAGATTTTATAACACAGTGGCCTTGATAATCAGTGCAAGGTGTGGCACCTTATGGTAAACACTAGTACTTATCATCCTTAAAATTTTCAGTGTTTATTCTGGAAATTCCACTTTGGGGAATCTATCTTCATGAAATAATCTGAAACAAGATAAGGCTTTATGTACAAAGATGTATGGTGCAGGATTATTTTTATTAGGAACAGCCTAGAATATACTCTAAAGTCCAATCATGGCACACATAAATCTTATATTCATAGATTGTGTAGCCATTAGAAATCTTTACAAAGGTGTAATATCATGGAAATATTTTAAATATTCAGTTAGTGGGCAAAACTCAGAAAGATTTGGTTCCTTCAGCCCTTGCTCTGGTACAACCTATTCTTTAACAAGTAGTCAGAGGAATCCTTTATGGACATGATTGAAATCTTATTGCTCCTTTGTACAAACAATCGTGACAATAAAAATCCTTACAGTGGACTACAAACTTCATATGATCTGCAGTACCCTCCTCATCCTACGCCACCTATCTGAGTTCATGTCTCAGGACTCTCTGGCCTTGGCTCACTTGCTTCCATCACAATGGTCTCTCCAGTCCTCACTTCCTCACCCTGATGCCTGGGTCTTTGCCTGGACCAGTGTCCCCAGAATCCACGGAACTTCCCCCACTTTATAAAGATCACCTCTCACTTCACAGAAGACCTTGATCCAACCCCTCTCCAGCAACACCCCAGCATCACATTCTTCCTCTCCCTCTCTGCCAAATTGTCCATATTGTCAGGCTATCAACTGAATATTTGCAATATATTCATTCACTCTCTGGCCCCTCTTCCAGAATCTAAGCTCCATGATGGTGAGATGGGTCCAGTCAATCCAGTGTGGGGTTCCACACCAGAAGAATGTCTGACATATACTATACTAAAAGGAGATTTACTGGTAAGAAAGTAATTTCCCAGGATTCTCTAAATATAAGAAACATGTAATACTTCTAAGTTTTAATTACAGAAGTAACATATGAATATAGTGCCATTGGAAAAAATCCAGATGTTATAAGATTACATTAATCAATATTCTTCCGCTTCAAAACACACTCCAATCTGCATATTAGAGGTAATAGCCTATCCAGTGTCCATATATATATATATATTTTTTCCCCCAGAGGTTGTTGTAATCTGTATATTATTTTGTAACATTCTAACTAAAAATGTTTAGAAAATGTTTCCATGGGTAAGTAAAATCTGGCTAGATCCACCCATCTGTGCATTGTCTCTGGCTGTTTTCCAAAGTTTTATTATACAGTAGACTGTTTTCTTAATGATGGATATTTAGTTTCTTCCTTGATTTTACAGTTAAAACAACCAAAGCGTATGAACATTTTGTTCTTTTCTCTTTGTGCATACACAGCTACTTTTCTGTAGTAAGTAAGACCAAGAAAGAAACTTTGTGGGACAATGGATATGCACATATTTAAGTGCAATATATAATATCATATTTTCCTATTTTATTATGAGGAAAAATTATATCTGAAAGGAAACAAGCAAAAATGGAAAAGCTACAAGAGTTACTTGGCTCCACCTACCTGATAAGTCATTGGTCCGGTTATTCAAACAATAGCAGTACCTGGTGTGGAATTTGGCTGGGTCCACTGTCTTTGGGTTAGAAACTGTGAAGAGGAAATATTTACTCAGAGATCCTGACACTTAGGCTGGCCCTACCCCCCTCACCCACCATCATCCCTGCAGAAGGAGTCAGACAGCACTCACTGTTGTAAATGGCCACGGAAACTTTGTGGAAGGCAAAGGAACTGTAGGAAGTAATGCTCAGCAAGGAGAAGAACCTCTTGCTCTCTGTGGAAAGAGAAGGAGAGAAAAAAGCAAAGAGACCAATGCCTGCTAACACAGTAGTAAAGAAACAGTACTAACAGTAGGCAATTTAATGGTACACTAACCAGTGATAAAAATAATAAGATGACAAAAATATAAACCAATAAAATAAAACAAAACAAAACTACTCCAACAGTATGCGTCACCAGCTCTATGACTTAGTGAGAGTCCTGGATGTATTAGTTTCCTGAGCCTGTTGCAACAAATTTCCATATACTTGGTGACATAAAATGACAGGAATTGATACTTCACAGTACTGGAGGCCAGAAGTTTGAGAGGTGGGTATGCCCAGGATTCTGATTTTTTTCAAAAATTTATTTTCATTTTTAATTTAGTTTTTCTCTTTAATTAACACATTTGTACATACTTATGGGGTATAGTATGATAAGCTAATATGTGTATATAATGTGTAATAATAAAATCTAGAAAATTAGCACTTTCATCTTGTCATTTCTTTATTCCGAATTGTTTTAGCAAGTGCCTCAAGTTCTTTTTATTTGGATTCATTCGTGACCCACTGGAACAGTAGCAGGAATGGCAGAATCCTTGTATTCAGTGCATGCTAATCAACAACAGTACTCAGTCTGCCTCAGCCTCCTGGGGCATCACCCCCACAGGGACTCGAATGCCATACACTGACTGCATCAGGCTCAGTACTTTATAAGCTTCTTGGAAGAGTGGGGTATGCACCAAAGTTTGAACACCCCAGGGCTGTTTCCTCATACTTTGTGACTTGGTAAAAGTGTCCAAGTGATCCAGAATCTCCAGCACAGGGCTCTGGGACTGTGTTTAATAACTGTTTCATGTCTTCACATTTGGAAGACACTGGACACATTTATTGGCTTGGGTTAAACTGCCCTGAACTCTAATCTCCAATAGCAGTCAGCATGTCTCAGTTTCTGCACCTCTGAAATGGGAGTGAGAGCAGTACACTTCAGGACTGTGCCAAGATTAGTGAGGCACAAAGAACCTGATATTCCTGGAGGTACAGTCATAGCTTTCCAGTCTCTGCCACATTCTGCAGATCCCAGTGCAGGGCCTTGCGAAGGAAAGGATGGGACTGATGGGAACTCAGGAGCATAGCCTATCTGTTCTCTGATGCTCTGTCTCCCCATAGTTCCCTTCAACTCCATCATGCCCATCTCATAGCTCCCCCCTCCTCCCCAGGCATCCCCATCCATCAATGGGCTCTTATGTGGGCAACTAGAGGGCGGGGGCAGTATCTTTGTGATGACAGCTTCAAGTGTTGGGATGGGGATGGGGTAAGTCCTCAGACACTGTTTGATAAGGAAGTGACTAAGTGATAAGTTTAAAGCCCTCGTGTACAGATGTGCAGTTGTGTATCACACAGCACCAGGGAATATCATTCACATAGAATTCAATGTTGAATGAGAGTTCTCCATCCCCGTATTCTGCTCAGCACTCATTTCCTACTGATTCTGTTTATTGCTTTCCTGTCTTCCCACTAGAATGTAAGTACCCTGCGACAGGGATTTATTTGGGGGTTGTTCACTGTTTTACCTCTAATACTTAGAATAGCGAGTGCCTGTATGTGATAGGTGTTCCACAAGCATTTACTGAAGAAGTGGGAGATAAATAACGAAGGAAATAAGGGTTGCACACTAGGGATCCTTCCTGCTTTGCTGTCATTTTGGAAGGTTCTACTTCTAGATATCTATCTCCTGATTGTTGTTATAATAGATTCATGAATGTACTCATTAAGTACATGCTATCTATTATCTTTTTCTAGAAGCTAGGAATAGAAACATGAATTGGATAATATTGTAAGTATTCAGGACTCTTAGCTATGATTTTGAATGCATACACATGCAAAATGTTTGGAGTGATGGCTTGCAAACCTTCTAGTTCCTGGGTTAGGTAGAACAATGTTTTCTCTACCCTGAACATGGAGACACAGAAGAATGCTGTCTTGCCCAGGTCACAGATAGTCTAGAAGACAAGCTGGCACAGGAGAAGAATGGGCCCAAACAGCACTGACACAGTCGTTACCTTTTAAACCTCTGCTCAGCATCCCATTCACGAGCTCTGTCAGGTTAAGTGCGGACAGATCGACAGACCTTGCAGGGAGCTCTGAAAGACAGGTAGAGATAATGTCACTGGCATGCTTTTTTCAACAGCAGAAACGGTTTTTCATTTCCAAACTTTGGACAGATAAGCTACCTCTTTGGACATGTATTGACCCCATAGCAAAGTGCAAGCACAAGAGGCTCAAAGGTAAATGGCAGCTTCTGCCAGGAGACAGGAGATGACATCCAATGATACACATCATGACCAACATAACCCTCATTTTCAGTGACCATTATATCTCTGAGTTTGGAGGGAGCAGGGATTGATGGGGAATCACAGGCAGCTCTGAATTCAGAAATAAGTGTACTTGCAATAGAGAGGCTCAAGCCTGGCTGGACATTGATATTTCCTGCAATGATTTTTTTTTTAAATTCCACAGTTCCGATGCTTGGGCTCCATTCTCAGAGATCCAGACTGGAATATAGCCCACATGTCAGTGTGGGAAAATAAAATCCTTCAAGTATTTGTGTGTGGCCCAAGGTGGAGAGAAGTTGCTGGGTTAAAATCCCCCTTCTCTCAGCTATTCCTTGAAGATTTGGAAGCAACAGTTGACCAGATAGTTAATGCACCTGTTTATAGTTTTACAAGAATTGTCTTTTCCAACTTTTACACAATGCTCAGGTAAAATTAGAAAGATGCTATTATCCCCACTGTGGGGAAGGGAACTGAAGTCCACAGAAGTGGGAGAATTTGCAGAATAGCCGAGAGCCCCATAGCAAGATGAGGGTAAGTGGGAGACTCACCTGTGGTAGCAAGAAATGCCACCTCCCTTTCTTTCCTCTCTTCTCCTCTAAGGACAGACCCTGGGAAGGGAAAAGTTTTCATGAGGCAAATGCAAGGCCCCAGTCCCAGCCCCATGGGGTCAATAAAGTCTTGGCGTTCTGCAGTACTGGCTGTCAGACTCAGCAGTCCTAAGATCACCAAGGGACACTTGGAAGTCTGATCTTACTGCTCTCACTCCCACCTCCATTTCTAATGTCATTGGACTGGGTGTGGCTTAGAGAACGATGTTTTAATAAATAAGGTGATTATGTTGCAGAGGGTCTTATCTACCCAACTCCCTAGCTGGGTTGGGGAACCAAGGCTCAGAGGAGAGAAGTGACTTGCCTAACCACTTGAACAGTAGTTGCAAAGGGCTTATCACCCACTGCCTACAACTGCAGAGTAGTGACCCTCTGAAACATCAGGCCTCCCAGTTTCTAGCTCCATAGTGCTTTCTGTCCGTGGCTTGGGCAGGAAGAGGAGACTCGTGTAATGACAAGTGAGGAGAGTTATAAGCACCTTTATGAGAATCTAACCTGGTCCAGGGGGAGGGAGAAGGTCTTGTGGAAGCCACTGACCTGGAGAATCAGTCACTTTAAATTATAGAATGGAGAGTCCCACTGAATCTGCTGCTACCATCGATGCAGGGATTATTTTTTCCATGTACGTTCAGATGGAGGAGGTGCTTTGTATCCATGTAATAGACGGAAAGCCAATACACAGAGTCTGAAAAACGTGCAGTGTTCCTGAGCAAGTCAGGATTTAGGACTGCCCTCCTTACCTGATGCATCAAGGAGAGCTGCATCTTTTTCCTTCTTAAAGCCTTTGTTTCCAGACACTGAAATAGAAGTTTTCATCACTGAAATAGTGTCCTGGAAGAATTGCCTTATATAGCCTCCATCTTCAAAAATCATCTTGTTCAACACTCCCTTTGAAGGTTGAGGAAAGCAAGACCCAGAAGTTAAGTGATACACCTAAGCCTTGCAGCCAGGATAGAGGCTAAAATAAAACTAAACAGCTAGCTCAGCTTATTGCTCACGTTGTTTTCCCCTGCCTTCATTTCATTTTATTGTGATATGAACATGTAATTTTGTTTGGAAACAGGGTCTTCTATGTAGTCCAAGCCACCCTTTAACTTGCTATGTAGCTCAGCCTGGCCTCAAACTCACGATCCTCCTGCCTCTACCTTTCATGTGCTGGGATTGTAGCTATGCACCAGCACATCCATTAAGAACACTGCATATAAGATCTACCCTGTTAACACATTTTTAAGTGCACAATATAATGCAGTACATATAGGCATTATGGTGTACAGACCTCTGTATCTTATTCATCTTGCATAACTGAACCTTTGCACCTGTTGAACAGCAAACTCTCCATTTTCTTCTTCCTTCATCCCACGACCACCTTTCTACTGTTTGTAACTGTGAGTTTGAATCTTATCACTTCACATAAGTGAGATGATACAATTATTTTTCTGCTGTGCCTGGCTTACTTTCCTTACCACAGGCCTTCCAGGGTCGTTCATATTGTTGCAAGAGGCAGGAGCGTCTTCTTTTGAAAGCTCAATCTTATTCCAGTGTATGTTTTCTTTACTGTTCACCTACTGGTGGATATTTAGCTTGTCCTGACCTTACTTTTCAAGTACCCTATTGAAACTGAGGTCAAGTCAAAAGGCTTAAGCCAATTTGACCTTTTGTAAGTCATCAAGCTTTTTGGTTATATATCAGAGATTCTGGGGTTAGAGGTAGGTGGGGGCTGTGAACTCCCTTTCCTACCATGTTTCTGCTGGAGGCAGAGGAGTTGTTTCAACAAAAAGAATGGCAAAACTGACGTGAATTATTAGCCAGGCCTGAAAGCTGTCAAACCACTTGTTTTCTGGCTTGGAGAACAGTCATTCTGAGTGGCATCATGCCTGTGTAGTCCACCCAGCAGCAGCTACCTGCTGCTGAGATTGTGGGAGGAGCCATGGCTGTGTTTTCTAACTGCCCAGGCACCAGGGCCTTCCATGCAGGTGAGGAGCCAAGATCACTTGAGTTCTGGGTCTCCAGGCTCCCAGGGTGCTTCAGGCAGCCAGGCTTACAGATGCTTACATCTTTCAGGCCACAATACACTCTCTCTGACCAAACATCATTCATGAACAATACTTCTTTTATCAAAGAAAAATTATTTTTAGCACTCTATTTTCTAGTTACAAATCCATGTGTGGATTTTGGTCACAATATTTTAAGTGCAAACTGAACAATGATATGCACAGGTTTTTTATTAGGATATTGTACAGAAGTGCTTTTCAGGTAAAGTGCCAGACAGGTTCATTGTTCTATTTTTGGATAGAAAGACTACCATAGTAGTATCTTTAAAATAGAAAATACCTGACATCTCCTGCACTTCTTCACACTAAGTATTTTATCACCTTCTATTCTTTATCATTACATACAACAGTAATTTCTCTCACTTAAAGAAGAGAAAGTTGGAAGCTCAAATAGAGCAAATATTTATGGAAAATCATCTTACTTACACAAAATATACTGGTAAAATTGGTATCTTCAGGGAAAGGGAAGTGGTTGGCTGGGGGACCATTTTAACTTTATATACTTTATACTTTTAGCTATTTGAATCATGAGAATGTCTTAACTAATTGAAACTAAAATTTAGGAAGTAAAGAGTAACTTCTACCCCACAAAAGTCACACAAAAGCATAGCAAAAATTTGATATTGCTTCCTTATCAAAAAATTAGGAACAGAAGTACAGTTCCTGTCTCCTGTGTCTTTTATGTTACAAAGTAGTCACCATCTCACTGCACAGCCAATTTCATACAATCAAGAGGAAAAAAGGAAAGGCAAAGACAGATGAAAGTATTTCAAAGGTGGTGATGGCAAATAACAATACTTCCATTATAAAATCCCCTATCACTGACAGAATGTCACCATCTTTGTAGATTTAATAAGATCCCGAGAATACAAGCATGCAAAGAACCAAAAAGTAATGAAAGCTCACAGAACTAGTAGTCTAATTTTTAGAGAATTAGAGATACAGTCTCCATTTATGGCTGAGAAGGCAAGTCTGAGAGAGATCAAGAAATTCGTCTGAGAACAGAGTGTGCTGGGGAGGAGCACCTGCCCATTTATCTGCTGTTGGTGAAAAGGTCCTTTCTTTTTCTTTCTTGGATTTTCTTTTAAGGCCAGACACTAAAGTAAAAGAACAGTTTCATCAGAGAAATTATAATCCAAATTTATTATTAGAGAGAATGTAACCCAAATTATCTATTTTATAGATGAGAAAATTACAATGTGGAATTGTGAAGTGACTTGCTTAAAATCTCATATGTAGTTTATTCATTCATACAATCATTAGTCACCAGATATTTATTGAAGAACAATAGCAATACTAATGATTTTTTTTATTTTATTCTTTTATTATTCATATGTGCATGCAAGGCTTGGGTCATTTCTCCCCCCTGCCCCCACCCCCTCCCTTACCACCCACTCCGCCCCCTCCCTCTCACTCCCACCCCCTCAGTACGCAGCAGAAACTATTTTGCCCTTATTTCTAATTTTGTTGTAGAGAGAGTATAAGCAATAATAGGAAGGAACAAGTGTTCCTGGTTGAGATAAGGATAGCTATACAGGGAGTTGACACACATTAATTTCCTGTGCATGTGTGTTACCTTCTAGGTTAATTCTTTTTGATCTAACCTTTTCTCTAGTTTCTGGTCCCCTTCTCTTATTGGCCTCAGTTGCTTTTAAAGTATCTGCTTTAGTTTCTCTATGTTAAGGGCAACAAATGCTAACTAATTTTTTAGGTGTCTTACCTCCCTTGTGTGCTCTTGCTTTTATCATGTGCTCAAAGTCCAATCCCATTGTTGTGTTTGCCCTTTTCTAATGTCTGCATATGAGGGAAAACATACGATTTTTGGTCTTTTGGGCCAGGCTAACTTCACTCAGAATGATGTTCTCCAATTCCATCCATTTACCAGCGAATGATAACATTTCGTTCTTCTTCATGGCTGCATAAAATTCCATTGTGTATAGATACCACATTTTCTTAGTCCATTCGTCAGTGGTGGGGCATCTTGGCTGTTTCCATAACTTGGCTATTGTGAATAGTGCCACAATAAACATGGGTGTGCAGGTGCCTCTGGAGTCACCTGTGTCACAGTCTTTTGGATATCCCCAAGAGTGAGCAATACTAATGATTGATAATGTTATTGAACACTGGGGTCTACTAGGTATTGTGTGTAGGGGAGGCAGGTGTGGAGAAAGTGAACCCAAGGGTATACTTATAAACAACATTGAGTACTTGAAAGGGGATCGTGAGGGTGGGTAACAGGAAGCCAGATCTCACCTCAGTGAGCTGGAAGCCTCCCGAAGAAGAGGGTGTTGTGTTGAGATCTGAAGATAGACAGTGTTTGAGTAGTATCTCACTGGCTAAAGGGTATTTGATGAAGAGGGAACAGCTTGGTCTTGCAGCCTGTGGTGGGTATGAGCATCACTAAAAGATTGAAGACTAAAGTGAGGGAACACAAAGAAGAGAATGTGAGCATTTGAGAGGGCTGGTGGATGCGAAGTGAGCAGGACCATGTGGATCAGATAAAGGACTCACTTGGGATAATATCCAAAGAGAAGTGGGATATCACTGAATAAATTTGGGAGAGTGAGGGAGAGAAATGGTGGAGGAAGATAATGATGTAATGAGATTTACAAAAAGATCACTCTGACTGATGGGTGGAGAGTGAATCATAGGGAGACGTGAGGAGAAGGAGGGATCTGATTTAGAACACTCCATCATTGTTCCAGGAAAGAGAGCATGGTGGTTTGGACAGGATGGTAACTGTGGAGACCTTTGTTTGTATAAATGGGACTCAAGCACAAGAAAGTTTAAGAGGAGAAAAAACAGAAATGGAATTGATTATTGAGATTTAAATCAAATTCATTTAGGATTCTGGGTTGAAATGTTGGCTGCCAAAATTTTTAAAGCACAATGGATATCTAAACTTACGTATAGAACAAATGTTTGCAGAACTGACCAGCCTCACCTGTGTTCCAGAGGGACAGGACACAGGCAAGGCCCATGCACAACCTCACTGGGGGACCACGTAGCAGGAAGCTCAGCATGATATGATGTTGTGGCTACCTGGAAGTGAACAAGGAAGCATTCAGAGAAGAATCTTGACTGTTAAGGGCAGTGGTGCAAAATATACTTTGAGAACAGTGTCCCTAAAATTATAATATGAAAAAGGCTTTTTACATGCTAAGACAAGTTAGGTTATGCTGAGATAACAAATTAACCCTTCAATTTCTTTGACTTAATTCATCAGCAAAGGTAATTTCTTGTTTATAGTCCATATTTGACTATAGATAATTTGATAAAGAGCTGTCCTCCACATAGTGACTGGGTACACTAATTAGTGGATACTTTATGATCTTGTAATTTTCCATCTGGTAGCCTGGGAGCCATTGCCTTCTTAGCCATTGATTCATTGTGTCAGTGAAAGGGAAAAATTGAAGGGTTATGCACCAACTCTTAGTGCCTTGGCAAGAAGTCAAGAAGTGACGTGGTCATCTTACTTACAACCCATGACGGAACTACTCACTTTCCCTGCATGACTGCAGGGAACCTGGGAACATGGGAGAGGGTGGCATGTGCATTTGGGGAACATTAATGGCTCGTGGGTTTTCTGTAGGTAGGACGCATCATTTAAGTACAGAGTCAATACATCATATTAAGAGGAAAATGTTACTAACATGAGTATATGTGAGTGTAGCACTTCATGACAGCCATCCTCTTGGACATTTGCTATGCAGAGCCAGCATAAGAGTTGAGACTAATAAGAATAATGGCAAACATTTATTGGTACTTTCTGTGTGCCATGTGCCACACAGAATGTTATCTGGTATATATTATCTCTTGACAACTATATAATCTCTATATGTAAGTATTCATATAATTCCCATTTAATATATAGTCTGCATGGACTTGATTTGAAAAGACCAGAAATTTGCTATTGGTAAAATGTGAAAGAGATCTGGAAAGTGAATTAAGAGTGGAGGAAAAGTGAAGAGAATGTGCAGTGGGGGTTGGGGAAAATATTTTAGGAATATAACATTTTTATGGAAAATTGTATTTTAAAGGTTTGCTCTACTAAGATGGAAAACTCATGTAAATTTTTCATGAGAAATCTCGGCAAGCATTTTAATTGCTTTTTAAATTATTAGTAGGTGCCTAACTGGTATTTTTCTTCTCAATGCCACCCTAGATAAAGACAAGCCTTACAAAGAAACAAGAGGCGGGGCTCTCTTGGAGTTCTCTTATTCTTGTAAGTCTGTTTATTCTCTGAATCTCAGTTTTTCTCATCTGAAAAATGGGGATAAGAGAAACCAGCTTGCAGGATCTTGGTAAAGATTTAAGATAACGAATCCAAAGCATTTAACCCACTCTCTGGTACATGGCAACTCTCAGTATGCATATCACATGTTTTGTGCTGCTATAACAAGCTATCACCAAGTGGATAATTCAAAAGAACACAGATTTATTTCTCACAGCTATGGAGACTGAAAATTCCAAGGTCAAGGTACTGGCACCTAGTGTGATCATCCTACTGCAACACCACAATGCAGAAGGCAGAAAGGCAAGAAAAAGCCAGCCCACTCCCACAACCTCTTTTTTTGTAGTGGCATGAATCCATTCATGATGGAAGAACCCTCAAGACCTAACTGCCACTCCAAGATCCTTCCACTAACAAAACTGTCACATTGGTGGTTAAATTTTCAACACATGAATTTTGAGGGATACATTCAGGCCATACCTCCAGGCATTTGGCTCAGGTTGGTGACATAGGGATGGATTGGTCACAGCCTTTTTTTTCTCAAGTTGTTTAGTAACTTGGAGGAAAGATACATACCCAACTCATTCACACTCAAAGCCCACTGTGATAAGTTCTCCACAAAGATTTACAAAGTGGGAGAGAGAGGAAGGAAAGGAGAAAGCTTGGTGAGTCCAGGTCTGGCAATGGCTCCAGCAAAAGAGCATTGGGAGTGGGGGTAGGCAGGCAAAATGACAAACTAAGTGAGGATACTTTTCTCTGGCACCTCGATTGCTATGGCAAAATGACTTGCCTTTCTGAGCTCTGGATAGTCATAACTACCTTGAAGATATTTTCAGGAGATTAAAGGAGACCATGGAATCCAATGCAAGAGCAAGTGTTGGAATAGATACCTGGGAATTTTAATTCCTTTTATCTTTTTCTTTTGTCTCCTCTTCTTCCCCTTCCTCTTCCATGTCTGTCTCAGGGCTCAACATGTAGCAGAGGCACAGAGTATGAACGGATAGAGAAAGTAGCTATTGATACACTATATATATATACTAGACTGACACTTCTTTCTTTTTTTGACACCTGCTTCATTACATTAACCACTCTCATTTACTATGAGTAAATATGCTAAACTTTAGTACTTTAAGACTCTAATTTCTACTGATTTTGCTCAGAGAGGAAAAAGTTTTCCTTCAGTTTAGGTTGATTGAATCAACTATGTTGTTCAGAGGAGGGCACACAGTTAAATTTGAATATGAGGTAGAGAGTGAATAATATTGTACTATGTCTAATTTGGTATTTGAGACAACCCTGGTTTGGAGGGTCAGAAGGTTTTATGAAAGAACTTCACAGCTTACACTAACAGAGCAGCTGGATGTCACCTGATGGCAGAACTGGGCTCTTCTGGCCTCCCTAGCCTTCTCCTTGCAAACCTGGGCCACTATGGGACAGTCTAGGGCAGGGGAAAGGACCTAGGTTCAAGGTTAGACAGATTTGATTTGAATCCTGAGTTGGCCATGGTGACTTGTGTCAAAATGGACCTTAACTCACTCACTAACTCGCCATGGGTGTATGGAACAGTTCCTGGAAGTAGGAACTGTGGAGTCAGACTTCATGGATTTCCTTCCTGCTGCTGCTATTTGCTAGATGTCTAAGCTACTGAAGCTCTTTATGCCTCAGTTTTCTCACTCAAGGCTAAAACATGCCATATATATGTCTAATATATATATGAAATATACATATACATATATATATACACACACACATATATAAAATGCACTGTACAACATCTGGCACAGAGAAGAGCTGCCTGTTTCACAAACAAGTAAAAGTGATGGTACTTTGTAAAACATGTTAGTTCTCCAATAATCCAGCCAGCCAATGTTCTCCATGTGATAGATTTATAATCCTCAAAGTTATATATTACAAAGACTGGATTAGCTGACCAAAAATTTACCCTAAAGCCAAGTGATCATAATTCCACTGCCTCTTCCAAAGCTAGAGTTGGGTAATTATTTTTAATCATTGTTTCTTTAAGGCCACTTGCAGAGAAGCAAGCCATGTGGCTGTGTGACAACAGTAATATACCGGCAGGGATCAGAATAAGCCACTGAAAATATGCTGCTTTGGCACATGGATTATTTTGAGCTGAAGGCTATTAAAAATTAACAGATACAGAAAGAAGTCTTCTTAGATAGAGGTTCCCTTATCTAAGTACATAAATTTTTAAGAAATGAAGACTGACAGAAATCCCTTCTCCTGAGGGAGTTTCATTGCCAAGAAAAAGACAGAGAATGAAGACTGAGCCAGGCCCAGCATAAGCAAATCTTACTAAAACAATCCTTATCTTCTGTAAGTTTCCCCATGCCCTTATCTTCTGACCACCTATAGTGGTTCAAAAGCTTTTTTCTTTGTCTCATTACTTCTCTGCACATTTACTAATCTTTTATTAAAATGGCATATAAGCCTCTGGACATGATTACCTCTTTGGGATTTTTATTTCATGTGAGGACTGTCATAAACATATAAACTAAACATTCTCCAGTAAATCTAGCTCTGGTCAGTTCAATTTGCAGGGCACCAGGCATTGAACCTGCATGAGTAGAGGAAATAGAGTTTATTTTTTCCTCCCCAATAGTATAATTTATTGAGCCTCAACTTTTGGGCCTGATGTCTATTACTTTAATTTCTCAAGCATCTTGTTACAGAGGGACATTGATAAATCTTGTTACACAGAGAAAAGCCTGGGAATCAAAGTGGAGCCCCCAGTTCAGAGCCATATGGATCCTAAATGAGAGAACTGGGATTTGAACCATGGTCTCTCCTATTCTGTTCTCTCTTGCCTGCAAAATATCATTCTAGAGTGCTACAAAAAAGACCTCATACTGAACACAACACACTTGACTTCAACACATTTTGGTGGCCAAGGGGTTAGAATTCAAATAAAACTCCCAGGAGAAGAGCAGAAAATTGCTCTTGTGATTGACAAGCCAAGAATCTGCCCAAGAGTCTTGGGAAATTAATTCACAATATGTCCATATCTTATCAGCAGCAGCCCTAGAGCTGGGAGTATGAATGTTAGGACAAAAGCTCTGGAGTCCTAATTAAACATTGTGTTACTTCCAATAAACAAAGATCACCTAGAATTTAATGTTGCCACCTACTGACTCAGTACCACCTCCCTCTTCCTGGGGAGCAACCAGAAGCTAGAGGTTGTAGACAACTTCCCAGCGCCATTGAGCTGGTGGTAGCCATCATGGATTTAAACTTGTGAGACAATGAAAACAATGGAGGGGTCGACTAGTTACAAATATCCAGTGAAAAATTACAAGTGAAGAGTCTAATCTGTTGCCCATGTGATGAGCCAGGAGTGCTACATATGGTATCCCATGAGTCCTTGAAGCAAACCTGCCCACTAATCAGTTGCTCTTATTCTTATTCTATAATTTGAGGACACTGTGGCTCAGAGGAACAGGTGGTCTGAGGACATGCAGCCAGGAGAGGCAGGAGTGGAACATGTCTGCTTACTGCCAAAATCCAAAATATTTCAGATCAACCACTTACTAAAAATGGAGAACTTTTCGGTGTCTTATTGCCATTTCTTGGGCATTCTTTCTTCTCACTCCAATTCTCTGAATTAAAGATTCTGTTTCCTTTATCACAGAAGTGAGGACAAGCCATCCACAAGCTGATGACTGCATTAAGATCCTAATCAATGACTTAAAAGGAAAAATGGAAAGCAAGGACCAAGGATGGAGTCTTTGCTCAGCAGTGCAGACCTGGGTGGTAGATAACACTCCAGTA